TTATGTTTCCATTTTCAACATGTGACACAGAGTCTTACAGAAGCAGGGCACTAATGTGCAGTGTTATGAATGGATAGAAAGGTTACCTGTAGTATACTATGAAAGACCAAGGTGGTTACTACTAGTACTAAGTATGAAGCTCAGTGTCTCTCTTAGTGATTGTGAAATAAAAGGGAGGAATCCAGTCTCAAGGAAAGTCAGTTTCCCATTTCATTTCTTCCTAATAGTTTAAAGAATATTAGAGGGGTTTAATAAAGTAATTGTTAATATAAAAATTTTGTATGTAAACACCTCTTATATGACTTCCATGTCTTCAAAACAAAGATGATTTTCAATTCTGTTTCACAAATGAAGAAACTGAGGTAATTGATCATACTGCAGTGAGGTAGTGCATTTGATAGCTTAAAGACCTTCCCACTGTACTTTACTTAGAACAAACTTGGAAGTCATTCAGAGTACGAAATCAACTTTGCAAAATTTTGGGGACATTGGTTCGATCAAAGACAGACACTAAGTAGCCTAGTTTTCAAGTGTAAGTTAGAAGTATTTACCATGGATTCTTGTGCGATGAAGATGTGTTAGAATTATCTTTCTATCCTCAAGGTTTTGTCAGGAAAAGAATCCTATAAAACTTGAAACTACTTCTAGTCTATGTTATGTAATTATTCTACACAGAAAAATATACTGGAAAACAGAGAGGAAGGGGTAAATGGAGACAATGGGGAACAGAAAAGAGCAATTTCATGACTGAGTTCAATAGCATCTCTAACACCCGAGAAAGGCAGATTATTTTTAAAAATCATTTCAAAGTTCTATAAAAGAAACAACTACATGACTACTGCTACCTAGCAAAATTACCCACTTTTGTAAAATTGGTATCAATGGGATAAGTAGCTAATACTTGTGGAAATGAAAACCTGGTAACACTTACTTTCTTTAAGGAAGGGATTCCATAAATTAAAAATACTCGTCTTTGTAAGCAGAGAGGCTGTTGTACTAGTTTTCAAAAAGGCTATTTGTTTCAGTCTTTGGACAGAGAAAGGCAGAATCACACTTAATTCTGACATTAGAGAAAGGCAGAGTCAATGAAAGCACTGTAATGAGATGCTGATGACCCAGCAGCTCAGAGTAATGTACAGCAAGACTAAATTGTAAGTCAAAATTACAAATAACCACAGTGTAGATGGACTGCTACTAAAACTCTCGATGATGAGAAAGTTCCACAGATATGGAGTTCTCAGGTCTCCTATCATCAGGAAGTAGCAAGAACAGTAGCAGTAACAGAGATAATAGTAGCAGCAGCAAGAACAATGCACATTTTTTGAGTGCTTTACTTCTGTCAGACAAGTGACGAATAATTTCAATTAAATATTTAACTAAACTGCTTAAGTTAGTAATTTAATAATTTCTAAATTTATTCCTTAATTTTATTATCTTTATTATCTTATTTTTACCCTGCAAGGAATTATTATATACCTTTTAGTGATGAGGAAGTTGAGGCTTGGCAAGGTTTTGGCAAGATGAAATTATTTACTCAAGGTTATAGAATCAGACATAAAACTTGAATTTAAACCTAGGTCTACCTTATTTCAAGACTATATTCCTTTCACAACACCATAAACCATATGTTTATATCAAGAATATAAATGTAGATTTTCAGTGTGAAATGTTGGGTAACCACACTCTTCAATTAAAAAAAATAGCCCTTGCTGCTACAATCACAGGTAGAATAAGCTAGTAACCAGTCTATCTCTGCTATGTATTTCTTCAATTTTATAAACGTAATAATGAGGATACTGTTTTTCCTGAATGTAATTTCTAACATAATGAAAGTATACTTGCTAGCATCTAATTATACGCCCCACATTCATGGAGTACGTAACAATCATTCATAAACATGAGTGAAATATCTAGGAGTCCTTCTTAGCTAACACCCTACACAACTACTTTTTATTTTCCAATTAAGAAAATCTGAAGAATGATTAAATCTAGATCAGCATGCTACAAGCTGCTCCATGGAGATTAATGTCAAGAAGGTAGTAAGTATTGAAGGAAAAAAATTCCAGGGTCAAATACTGAGACAATCATAGGCCACATATAGCATGAAAATCCACATTAAAGAATTTAATTTTAAACTGAATTTCCTTAATTTATTACAGAAACTTTTTTGTTTCTCAGATCATGTGTAAAAGTATGGACATTGGTTCTACAGTACAGAATTTGGGAAACAATGACCTAGTTACCTTCTTTTATAGAAATGCAAAAGGGTTTCTTAAGAGTACATGTAAAGAGTTGAATGCACCTAAGAGTAACATGGGCATTTAGTTTTCTCAAGGTCAAGAATCCCTGTTTCTGCTATTGGGGAGAAGGATATATAGGATTCTGAATTCTTCTTCTTGTAAGAAAAAATTATGACATTAAAGTGTAACAAATACTGAATAGCAAAACCTCAGAACTCTAGAAAAAGTTAGTGCCCACACCCTACAAATAGGATAACCGAGGCTTCAAAGGACCAGCCCCGATATTCCTCCTTTATTATTAGCCACATCTTCTTAGTTTACTTTGTCCCATTGCTTCTCATCTCCCTAATTTTCTATAGTCACATTCCTAAGATCTAAGTTTGTAGCCTGATGCCTTGGGTAATCAAATTTTTTAACTATGACCAAGAAAGTACAATTTTCTATTCTGCAAATGAATAGAAAATTAATGTTAAAATGGAACAAAGCTGTTGTTTGTGGACAAAAATTTTAACAACTAGGTAGAAAGAGGATAGATGACAAACCTTCTGAGAAACAGGCTAGGAGATAAAGACCAAGTCCACTACTAAGAAACAAGCCACTTTTGGAGATTTTGGAAAATCTTTCATTTACAGTATAAATTTGTTCAGAAACTTAAAACTAAAAATTAATGTCAATTTTAATAAACATTAATGTTAATGTTTATTATGTTACATAGTAAGTGGTCATCTAAACTGGTCTTATCTCTGCTCCAAAATACAAATGAAGTACTGATTTTAGAAAAATACCAAACAAACATGCTCAAGTAATAATTTCAGAAGCTGCTGATCCTTATTAAGATCCTTAAAACTGAAAAACTATTATAAACAGTAACTTTTTAATTATGCTAGAGGAAAAAATGCAAGATGCATTAAGTAGACAGAGACCTCAGTCTACATGTGAAGTAACAAGGTTGCCATTTAGCAATTAAAGTAATGCTCCTATTTACATGATAAAACTTATAGCTTTTATATGAAATTTTTCTTTCGCAAGTAATTCCTGAGACACTTAAATACCACCATTTTTTATTAAAAACAAATAAAAATATTTAATAGATCTGGACTCAATATAACTCAAAATACACAAATGACAAATTTAAAATAAATATTAAGAAAGAAACCTGTGTATTACTGGTCGCCATATATATTTAATATGCTACCTTTACCCAAAAGAACTACATTAATGACTAAGTAGAGGTTACATATTAGATGTATAAATACTTTACTTTAAAATGTGGTTTTAAGGTCTGTAAGAAGTCTTACCAATTCTTCATATCTTAAAACTTACAATTATTAAGATTATAGTAATAATCCTGAAATAGAACAGAACATTTAATAGTGGTCTAATGGTCTAACCAACAGCCAAATTAAAAAGCTACAAACAGGCAGCTTAAGGAATCTCTTGGAGTTCTTAGTAAAATAAAATAAACACTAAAGTTTTAAAGAAAAGAACAGGAAAACAGACATCACAAAACAGACATCAAGCTAATGGAGAGGCTCAAGTGGTAAGAGCGCCTGCCTAGCAAGTGTGAGGCCCTGAGTTTAAACACCAGAGTGCCTCCAAAAAATTACAGAACAAAAAATAAAAAATCTGAAAAGTGCTGTTATTGAAAAAGTTATAGTTAACTGGGTAATATACTTTACTGAAAGTGAAAATAACTATAATTTTGGAGCATAATTACAGAGACCTGTTGTTCTAAGGATATTAAAGTGCCCATGATTTCCTAACAACCAGTTTTTCTATTTCTTGGACTCATTCATGGTATAGGAAGATTTAAGGGCAATAGCCAAAATAACTAAACTTTAGATGCTGAAGCATTGATTTGAGGGGCTTTTCTTAGTTATAATTGGCCCATAAACTTAAGATCAAGAGCCAAAGCCACCAGTGGGAAGTATGCTCAATTTGGTGGGCCTTCAGGCCACCTCTGGCCAAATCAACATCAGCCTGATGGGAGGCCAGCCATGTAGGAAGGGAGTCTCCCCCAAGATAGGAGTTCTTGAGGCCACAACCTAGAGCAGATCCCACAGTCAAATTATTCACATTCCTTGGAAAGAGAGAACAGGAATCAGTTGTTTTCATCGGAGGGGAAACTATCTAGGTGTACCCTGGACATTTTTTGAAATCTCTGGGTTGCTTCTGCATCTGAAAAATAAGAAAAATAGCACAGTGACAGACAATGAATGAGGAAAAAGACAAGCATCTGGCCTAAAACCTAAGACATAAGAAACGAAGAAAGCAGACAAAACAGAAAAAAAAGACAAACAGCCATATCATTTGGAATGTATTATTCTAAAGGCAAACACAGCAAAGAAAAATGTAAATTACTGTAAGCAAAATAAGAAGACCATAGCAGTAAGAGTTATTTTTAGTGAGAGCCAACTAGAGAAAGAAGGCATGTTAAGACATGCCAACCTAACACAAAGATAAGTGGAATAGAAATACAGACCCATCTGAGAACTGATAAAGAGCTGAATAATGAGAGCTCATGTCATGAACTTGGCTCCCTAACTGCCTTTGTGCAAGAAAACATCTCAGAACTTTGAACTTCGGAAATTCCAACTTGTCTTACATCAGGTCATGAGCTCCACAGAGCAGGAACCTATTTAAACAGGCAGATTTTTTAAAAAAATTTAACATTTTTCATTCCCATTAATGATACACTTAAAAATGCAATAGTGCTAAAATCCATCAAAGTAAAATGCTCTGAATAAAAATTAAACTTACTCAGAAAGATGTTCAGAAGTTGGGATACAAACAGAAACTGAAATTAGAAGAAAAGTTTTACATTTACAAGAGTATATGAACCATGATGAGTGAGAAAATGATTTAGTAAAGAGCCCATATTGTGGCTGACCAAAAAATAAGGGATCAAAAAATCCAAAATAGCACAGCCATATATACATACCTTTCTCCATTATAACTTGGCAAGCATGGGTTTCATGTAGACTTAAGTGTGTAGCCATATTATCTAAGCCAGAAACATCAGTTAGGAAATCACAATTAAGGCACACTAGAGTAATGCCCCTATTAAAAAAAATAAGCATAAAAGATTTTTATCTTTTATACACAAGTTCAATGATTATTTTCCATGATTTATTTTTTGCGTCATAATTGTAATTTACCATTTTGGTCATATAAATTTGACAACTGAAATAAATTTTCTCTAGAAAAGAGCCAGCCCAGCCATGTCCAAATTATGTTATCACTTATTTACAGAGTGTATTTATGTTTTTTACACATTTCGTTCTCATTCCAGCTGATAAAAGCTAAGAGTCAAAAGACCTACAGCCAATCTTGACTCCAGTAACAATTTACATTAATGTAGGCAAGTCATGTTCTATGTGTTCCTCTGCCCATCTGCAAAGTCACTTAACACTTATTCACTGAGATTACCTTTACATACAGTGTACCTCTAAGTATTATGAATATAATGATGAACGACAAAAACAGTGTAGTTTGTGCTCTAATTGAATTTATAATCTGGTGTTTTATTTAGTCAAAGATAAAATTAGAAGATAAAATTTAAAAATAGATTATTTGACAGTTGCCATCAATTGCATGTTACATGTCAAGGTTCTAACACAACCATCCAAGGTTGGTATAATTCTTTTTTTTTTTAAACACTGAATTAATTAAAGTAGCTAACAAAATATTGCAACCCACAAGCTTGAATTCCTCATTATCCTAGACTGTTAACTAGCCTAACTGCTGGGGCCTACACTACTAACTCCTTTTTAAAAAACTTCAGAATGTTTCTAATTCTTAAATGAAATATGTAACAATTATAAATTTTAAAAGAGCTTGGGAAACAATTCCCATAGTCGTCAAATTTTTTTCTAAATACAGAATAGTGTTTATACTCAATGGATCACACTGGACAGCATTTACTATCAGAAACATGTCGTAATATAATAACTGGAATACTAAAGCACATGCCACTGACCTTAAGATTTTAGTTTAAAATGTGTTTAGACTTGTGATTTTTTTTTGTTGATATGTATTTTAAAATATTATTAAGGCTATAAAAATATTGAAATGCTTCAGAGAACTTAGAAAGGCACAATACATTTAATTTATTATATTTATAAGGATAAAGCAACTGCAGTAGTTTACTGGGTCAAGCATTTGAAGTGCTGTTTAAAAGAAAATCAAAATTCAATCTATAAATTACACTATTGTTGCATGTAATATGAACTATAAATGGTATTGTTGAAAAGAATTTAGTCTGTTCGATTTAAATGAACTTTATCATGCATTGATTGGAAAAGTGATTAAAAAGTCTTTTATTTCTAAGTGGAGTTTTTGTAACTTAAAAGCATAAGCAAAGTTAAAATTTAAAATACTTAGCTTAAATAACTAACTATATAGTCTTTTCTATGAACCAACTGGCCTCACAGACAATAAAAAATTTCACTGGTAAACAGCAAGTTACATGCCTCTTTCACTGGACACTGTTCATTGGACAAGGAATGGAATGCCTAACTCAAGCTCTCTCTAAACTGGGATTTGTAACTGGAATTTATAATCAAATTTCTTGATTTGGGAAATTGTGGGAGGCTGGGACTGTCATAATTTGGTCTGAAAATAGGTCTGGCTCAAGTAGCAGAGTGTCTGCCTAGGAAGCACAAGTCCCTGAGTTCAACCCCCTAGTACTGAAAGAGAGAGAGAGAGAGAGAGAGAGACAATGAATGAATGAAAGAAACCCAAGTCCACAGAAAATGAGACAATATCATGCTGCTTCAGCAGATCAAACTAGAGAGGACTCAAGTTGGTTCTGTCTGTCTTATTTGTTCTGGTTGTAGCTCCTCCACCTTTAGGGGTCCAAAAGATTATTTGGAATCCTTCTAATTATTTTTTGCTTAGGTGAACAAACAATTGATCACAAAATGGGATCACACTGCCTGCTTAATAAAAAACACATACCTTTGATATTGACTGCATAGTAGAAATGTGTTTTACAAGTGCATGAAAAAAACAAATAGGATATCTTACACTGTTATCTCCCCTGAAGCTCTAACAGCATGTTGTGTGTATTTACCCCTAGTGGTTGCACTGGAACATCTAAACTAAAATCATACTTTCTACCAAAACCAACTCCTCCTGACTAGTCTTTCTTATGATGTCATTTCACTTGACACTAAAGCTCAAACTAGTTATCCCTGACTTTCTGCTTCCTTAAAACATTTACTTTGTCAGCATTTTACAATGTTAGCAATTTACTGAGTGCTTAACACTGTTCTAGGCTGATTTCAGACATACAATTTTATCTACATCTGTAACAACCTGAGGAGGTAGATGCATTATCTCCTTTATACAGAGAGTAGAGTTAGCATAGTGCTAACTAAATAATTCATTGTACTTATTAAAATCCAGTTTATTTATGTTCATTCATACCTTATCAGCCACCTAATAAACTATGTTACCTGAAGGTTGGTTCAGGTTGTCTATAAGACCTGCTACATTATGTAAGTGAAAAATGCATAATATGTAGCTAAAAGTAAGGATAATTACAAAAGCTTTTATATAATTACATACATGCTAAGTCCCATTCACAGAAATCAATTTTCAGTTTTAGACCTACCCAAATTGAGAGAACACCTAGATCTTTAAATCAAATAACTGAAAAAACAAACACATAAAAACAAACAAACAATAAAAAACACATGCTCAGTGCCAGTGGCTCATGCCAGTAATTGAAGCTACTCAAGAGGCAGAGATCAGGAGGCTGGTTTGAAGCCAGCCTGGAGAAATAGTGTGGGAGACTGTATCATGAAAATACCCAACATAAAAAAAGGCTGCTGGAGTAGCTCAAGTGAAGAGCACCTGCTTAGCAAGCATGAAGTCCTGATCCATTAAAAAAAAAAAATCTCAGAACCATAAACCCCTCCCCCCCACACACACAGCAGAGCTTAACAAGTGAGGTAAAAAATCAAATTAAAATCTGATTTTTAGAATAAAACAAACCCCATTTCATTTTTTACAAAAATCTTTCCTTTTAATATGTACAAGATATTCACGTATTACACACAAACATGTCTTACAACAATACTATGGTAGATTATCTTCCACTTTCTCTACTGACCCAAAGCATCAAACTAAGTATTTGCTAAAGCTTACTTCAATATATTAGCTTGGTGGGACAAAAATAATATTTCAAAGAAAATGGCAACATAAGAAGAACAAAGAAAATCAGAGTCCAAAGAAATTACAATATGAAAAAATGATGCTCAATGAATTGTGAATGAAATGTATGGTAAAACCAAAGCTATCAACGCATTTACAAATATTCATCAATAATTTTTTTCTATATAGTACCCAAGTGGTACACTTTTCCTTGTCTGAATAAGAAATAATAAGAATTATGAAGACTACACTGAATTTCAAGAATTCTAGTGGTTTCCAAAATTTACTTCGAAACTGAGAATATGTTATAGTCATTTTACTAAGTAACTTAGTTATTTTACTATTCAAATACTGTTGGAAGCTTTATTTTTATTCTCATCTTATAATGGAAGTGCATTTCATCTTGGCACCAATTGTCACCACTAAAATAAACTTAGCAAGAGATTATATCATACCTCTGGTCAAAATAGTAATGAACAGAACTCATCCAGTAACAATCACTGAAGATTTCCAAATTGGCATCCCAGCATCAGGTTGATAAAAAACATTATAGCAAACCACAATAGGCCATTTCATAATCAAAAAGAGGTAATAACAAGCATTGCAAAAGATATAGAACAACAATCCCTGAATCACTGCTTGTGGGAAGTTAAATAGTTGAGCTATGTTGAAATACTGTCTGGAAATTTCTCAAAGGCTAAACACAGACTTATCACGTAAGCTAGCAAATCCAATCCTAAGAACACACTAAAGAGAAATGATTTCCATATAAAAACTTAGACCCAAATGGATAAAGTATAGTATATCTATAAAATGGGACATTACCCAGCAATTTAAAAGAATGGAGCGTTGATATATGCTACAATGCAGATGAACCTTGACAGGCAGTCACAAAGGACCACACAATGTGTAGTTCCATTTATATGTAAGATACCACAAAGGACTAGTCTATATGGATAGATCCAAAGTAGATTTGTGGTTGTTTAGGAATGGGCAGAGTTGGAAGAAATGGGGATGACCACTAATAAGTAAGTATAGAGTTTCTTTTTGGAGTGATGAAAATGTACTAAATTGTGGTGACGACTGCAAAATTCTGGATATAATAAAACCTGTTCATTGTACATGTTAAATTTACGAATTGTATGGTTTGTAAATCAGATATCAATAAGACTGTTATATAAGAAAAAATTAAATCAATAACATTGTTCAACAGAAAGAATAAAAAAAATAAAAGATCCACTAGTTACCTGAGATTTTCTGAATGCTTCTTAAATAAACAAAACCTTTTACTTGGACGGTTACTATGAAAGCTGGAAAGACAAGAGATTTTAATAATTTTACTATATAGTAAAAGTCATAATGCTTATTATCCCTGTTAAATTAAATATTTTATTTTATATTTTATTTTATCTTTTCTTTTCCTTTTCTTTTGTGACAGGGTCTTGCTATGCTGTCCTGGCTAGTCTCAAACTCATGGGCCAAACCTCACAAGTATCTGGGACTACAGGCATGTACCACCATGTCCAGCTATATCTCTTTATTTTCTAATGACATGTATTAACCCTACAAATATTTTTCTTTTCTTTTTTTTTTTTTTAGTGACACTGGGGTTTGAACTCAGGGCCTCAGGCTTCTACCACTTGAGCCACTCCTCCAGCCATTCTACTCAAATTTTTGTTTGACTAGTACTTCACCATTATATAAAAAAGAAAACTCTCAAAGAGTTTAAAAAAAGAGAGCATCCAAGTTAATTTTTATTAAGCACTGAAAGCAATTTAAAATTTTTGCTAACAACATATTTTTGCTATAGTATGAGCAGTTATCAGAAACAATCACTTTTTTTTAATCACTTTCCATTCTTAGTACGCTTGTACAGAGGAACGGGAATGGACTGTAAATGATCTAGGAAATAACACTACTTGTGCTAAATGCTACTGCTGATTATCTGTAAACTTAAAACACTTCAACAGTCCTTTGCAATTACTACTAGTTTAAAAAACTTAAAGCAGAATTCATGCTTCCCTGATGCACAGAACAGAAAACTACTAAGCAAACTTTGTAGTCCATGACAACAGCTTTTCTATCCCTTGTAAGTCTGGTAAGGAAAGCTTTTCTATACTAGAAAACCAGGACAAGTTTAGCACAGTAATTCTAAAAGTAGAGTTTTACAGCATCAGCATCACCCAAGAGCTTATTTAGAAATGCAAAGTCTTGGGCTCTCCATGAACCCACTGAATTAATCTCTGGCAATGGGAACTAGGAACACACTTTAATAAGCTTTTTCAGTGATTCTTATGTAAGCTAAAGTTTGAGAAGCAACTGCAAACACACCAGGAAAATGGTTACACCAACACAGTCTGTGTGGATAGGAAAAAAAATTTTCTAGCTTGCAATAGTCCCCAGAAAACATTCTCAGAAAATTTCAAATAGTCATTTCTTTGACCTGGGGGTAACTACTATTAAAGAGTTTACAAGTCTAAGATAGTATCACAAAAATAGTTTTAAACAAGAGATTTTCAAGAAGTTGAGAAGACTGAAATTATTTGCAAAAATGTGGATATGTAATTGTTTCTTCAGAAGAGGCAAAGACTTTGACTTCTAAAAAAATGTGAATCATTTTTTAAATGAGACAAGTTTTCTCTTCAAACAAGCATACTTTTTTGTTTTACTTGTCTAGTTATTGGTAAGGGAAGAGAGAAAATGACATTTTTTATTTTTTGATGTCTTCCACACCTGTCCACAGCTTGAATTATTAAAATAAAACTTAAAAATTTTAGTTGTCTGAATTCAGCCACGAGTAGGAGTTTTTATCTATAAAAAGGGTCTTACGTTGCCTCTGATTTATCTAGATTTAATATACAAATTGCACACATATAGTTTTGTGTATTAGCAAAAAGGAGAAAAAAAAAAAAAGCCCATAATCAAAGCATTTGGTATGCTAAAGCAGGAGGACTGCATGTTTGAGGCCAGCCTGGGAAACACAGTAAGATTCTGTCATCAAAAACAAAGTAAAAAAATTTACCTTCTCTGTTCATGTTACATCTCCATAAAGTTAATAGAAATACAGAAATGAAAGTGGGAAAAGAGAAAAAGTGTTTTAGCTATAATATAGTAAGAACATAATGTTAAGACCTAAGTTTTAAAAATCTATTAGGCCAGGTGTGATGGCACAGACCTATCATCCAAGCATTCAGGAGGCTAAAGCAGAAGGATAACAGGTTCAAGGCCAGCTTGGATTACAGATCCTGAAAGACCCTGTTCTCACCTGCCTGCAAAAAATGCTACTTGGTTACAGACTGTATGGAATTGTGGAAAGTCATAAGTTATGTATGAATAGGTGAGTTTTATTATGTGTAAATTATACCTCAAGAAAACCGTGACCAGAACTCCTTTTTGACCGTATTTTAATAATCTTGATTCTGTATCAGTATCAACTTGAATGATTTCCTTAATATTCAACAATATTGATAGTATGCCTACTATTTAAGATATTAGACTAGAGGTTGGTAATTATAAATACAAAGAGGCAAGTTGCCTGCCCTGGAGTTCATGGCTGGGGTTAAAGAATGAGGGACACAGACAGGGGCTGGCATAGGCACAAAATAAGTATTTGTGAAATGAATGAATGGTCACAAACAAGATAAGATAAAAATGAACAGTGACACATAAGAGTTCTGAGGTTGCATGAAGGAAAGCAGAATATGATGGGGTAGAAGCTAGCTAACAGCTAGGAGTTCATTTTAATTAAGAAAAAAGGTAGATAGATAGGATCAGTGTACTTGGCACACATGGAAATCACACTAAATAACATTAATATGTACAAGTAATATGTATTAAAAATTAAAACATGTTGTGACTCGAGTAGTATGAGGCCCTGAGTTCAAACCCCAGTATTAACAAAAAAATTTTCAGTAACAACAAAGAATGTAGCTGGGCACTGGTGGCTCACACCTGTAATCCTAGCTGCTCAGGAGGCAGAGATCAGGAGCATCACAGTTCAAAGCCAGCTCAGACAAGCAGTTAGAGAAACTTTATCTTGAATAAAACCCATCACAAAAAAGGGCTGGTGAACTGGATCCAGGTGTAGGCTGACGTTCAAACTCCAACACCAAGAATCACAAAAACAAAGAATAGCTATAAAGATACAGAAGGATTTTTCAAGAAAATAAAAAAGGCTGAAGGAACTGAAAATACTTAGGAATTAGACACTGAAAGGTCTTATATTCTCCAGTACTTAAGAGCTATAAGCAAATAAGGTATAAAAATAATCCAAAAATTATTTTTAAAGAAAATCACTTAAAATTACAAATTTATTGCTTTTCTTTGAGAGAGTCTTATTTTCAACAATGCTCCAACTGCCTTAAAATTTTTTAATCTCCTCTTTTGAGATATTTAGGATTATTCTCTACAATTCAGACGTCAAGCTCAGAACAAGAGTCCATCCACACTGGTCAAAAGTAAGGGTGTGCCATTCCTTGGGGAAGAGGAATACTGTTAAAGTAGAGAAAAAGGCAGAAAGGACGGACCTAACTTTTGACAATGGAAACTTTCAGTTCCATCAGGTTAACAATGAGTAAGATGAGAATGAACTGTAGAGCTGGGGCTCACTGGGAATTCAGAAAAGGATAAGAACAACATCTGGAGCCAACTGAGAATATTCTAAGGTAGAATGGATTTAGAAATTCTACAGGACAGGTGGGAAGCCTGTGATAAAGGGGACAAGGGAGGAACAATGACCCTTTGTTTAACAAATAAAATGTTTTCCAATTTAATCCACTATAAACTAAGGGCAGAATTAAAGACCCATTTGGTAGTTATGTGTTTGGAACAGAATAAGAAACAGCACTCTACCTAGCAGCATACTAAGGGAAAAATCCCGGGGCCTGTTTTAGACCACACCGGATATGAGTACAGGACACTGCATTAGCTGGGAGGTAAGAAGGAGTCTTAGAAAGCCATGATGCACACTGTATCAAAAGAACTTCAGGAAGTCAGGCACGGAGGGTCATGCTTGTAATCTTAGCTACTTGGGAGCTGAGACAGATCAGAAGAATCGCATTTTGAGGCCAACACAGGTACAAACATTAGTGAGACTCCAACTTAGTCAATAAAAATTTGGGCATGGTGGTATGCACGTTAACTCCAGCTATGCGGGCAAGCATAAATAGGAGGACTGAGGTCCAGGCCTGCCAGGGCATAAAAGCGAGACCCTATTAAAAAAACCTAAAGCCATTTGAGCCACGCCTGGGAAGTGGCACCTGGAGGCCCAGATTGTGGATCTCGGAGTTGAGAGTGCTCAGGGTTCCTGCAGCACCAATCAGCCCAGAGCTCCAGTCAGTGTTTTACTAACTGAGGCAGTTTACTACTTGTCAGTCACGAGGTCACGGTCCCTATCCTCCCCTCCCTCGGCTTTAGTTGGTGCAGGTGGCAATCACATGAGGAAGCGCCCTTCTCTTAACTCTCGGCTGGGATGCATGCTTGCCTCTCACACTTGCTTATTTCCCTGCTTCTGGCCCAGCCTCCAGTGGGCAACCATATCTTGGTGAAACTTAATGACCTTGTTTTTGTTTTGATGTTCAGGTGGTTAGCCCTAATGCTCCCCTCAGCCCTTGGCTCAAGTGACATCGCCACAGCCCCCTCACCATCCTCTAAAGTAGCCCTCCCAAGTTACTTTGTATTTTCCACTCAGTATCTGTTCCCATCTGACATTAACTTACCTCTGTTGCTTATTGGTCTGCCTTGGGCACCCTTTTACCCCAGAAACTAGAACTGAGCCTGAAAGTTATTGCATAAATTTCGGTGTATAACAATAAAAAGTACCTACAGCAAAAGGGATGGGGGCATAGTTTAAGTGGTATGGTGTCTATAGAAAATGCAAGACTCTTGAGTACAAACCCCACTACAACAACAATAAATAAAAATATAAATAAATAATAAAGAACTTCAAATGTCTTATGCTGATGGTAGTCATGTGAATCCTAGACAGATGATAGCATTTGGCTTACTTTTGTTTCTGAAACATTCACTGGTCTAGGGTAAAAATATCTACAGAACAGAGATACACAGATGGATTTCAGGAAAACTAGGACTGAAATTGGAAGACTTAAAGTTGAAAGCTAAAAGTGAGAGTGGTTAAATTAACTAGAAAGGGAATGATGTAAAGTGATGAAGGAAGAAGAAGACAAGGCAATGAAACAGAGAAATAACCAAAAAGGGAGAAGAAAAGCAGTGGTAACTGAGAGGATAAGGAGAACAGATTCAAAAGTGAGTGACAACCATGTCAAGTATTCTAATGGAGCCAAGGAGGAATGAGAATGAAAAGGTGAATAAATGTAATAAATTAATAAATTCATGACAAGACATGATAGATAGATAACACTCCCCCTTTTCCCCTCCCTGGCAGTACTAGGGTTTCAAATGAGGGCCTTGTACTTGCTAGACAGATGCTCTACCACTTGAGCTACTCCCCTTTTTTGCTTTACTTATTTTTGGGATACACTCTCATATTTATGCCCCAGTAGGCCTGGACTACAATCCTCCTATTTATGTTTCCTGAGTGGCTGGAACAACAGGTGCACACCACCACACCCAGCTATTGGTTGAGATGGGGGCCCATGCTGGCCTTGAACTGTGATCCTCCCAATCTCTGCCTCCCAAGAAGCTGGGATTAGACTTGAACCTCATGACAGATCATCTTAAAGAAGCAGTGTTGGATGAAGAAGAAAACTATAAACCATTAAGAAAGAAGACTACAGAAGATGGAAAGATCTTCCATGCCCATGGACTGGCGAAAATTGTGAAAACTGCTATATTATCAAAAGCAATTTACATGTTCAATGCAATTCCTATCAAACTTCCAATAACATTTATACAGAGACTGAAAAATCAACCCAAAAGTTCATAAAAAAATGGGAATAGCCAAGGAAACACTGAACAAAAAAAGCAATGCTGTAGGCATAATAATACTCAACTTCAAACTACACTATAGTGCCATAGCAATAAAAACAGCATGGTTCCGGCACAAAGCAGGCATGAAGACCAATGGAACAGAAGACCTAAATATGAACCCATGCAGCTATGTCCACCTTATTTTTGACAAAGGTACCCAAAACATATGATGGAGAAAAGACAGCCTCTTTAACAAATGTTGCAGGGAAAACTAGATTATCTACATGCAGAAAACTGAAACTAGATCCATGTCTTTCACCCTGTACAAGTATTAACTCAAAGTGGATTAAGGACCTTAATATAAGACTTGAAACTTTGAAGCAAGTATAGGAAAGAGCAGGGAATACACTGGAGGCAACAGGCACAGGCAAGGACTTCCTAAACAGAACTCTAATAGCTCAGCAACTAAGAGAAAGGATGGACAAATGGTACTCCATGAAATTAAAAAGCTTCTGCACAACAAAAGAAATGGTAACCAGATTGAAGAGGCTGCCCACAGAATAGAAGAAAATCTTTGCCAGTTATGTATCTGACAATGGATTAATAACTAGAATACATAGGGAACTCAGAAAACTAAACTCCTCCAAAATCAATGACCCAAAGAAGAAATGAGCAAATGAACTGAACAGAGCTTTTACAAACGAAGTAGTCCAAGTAGCCAAAAAATATGAAGAAATGCTCAACATGCCTAGCCATATAAAGGAAATACAAGTCAAAACCATGTTAAGATTTCACCTCATTCCTGTCAGAATGACTATCATCAAGAACACAAACAACAATGTCGGCAAGAATATGGGGAAAAAAGAGCCCTCATACACTGCTGGTGGGAATGTAAATTAGTACAACCATTAGGAAAACAGTATAGAGGCTCCTCAAATAACTAAAAATAGAACTGCCATATGACCCAGCAATACCACTCCTAGGGATGTAACCAAAGGAATGTAAATCAGGTTACAATAAAGACACCTGCACAACCATGTTTACTGCAGCATTATTCACAATAGCCAAGCTAAAGAAACAGCCAATATGCCCTACAACTGATGAATGGATTAAGAAAAGGAGCTATTTATATACAATGGAACTTCATTCAGTCATAAAGAAGAATGAAAGGTTGTCGTTTGCAGGTGTTGGACTTGTAGAGGAGACCAAGGGAGGAGGAAAAGAAGGAAAGAAAGTTAATAATGAAATATAGCACATCTGTGAAGAAACAAGATGCAAGGAAACATGCTGAAAACTTAAGCAACATAGGATGGGGGGAAAGGAAGGGCAGTGGAGGAGGGGGTTAAACACAATGCATATATAATACCAAGACAAAAATCCCGCTGAACAACAAACAGACACCTAAAGAATGAAGGACAAGAATGAAAACAGGCCACACTAAGAGAGGGACACTAACAGGAAGGAGAGGGTAAAGAAGGTAAATATTGTTGATATATTTTCTATACAAGAATGCATATAAATTTTTTAAGCCTGCTGAAATCACCGTAAGACAGGAATTAAGGTAGAAAGGAGAAAAATGGAGGAGATGAACCAATTCGGGATATAGTACATACATACACAGAAATGTCATAATGAAACTCCCTGTATAGCTATCTTATACATACAGAACTGTCTGTTCAAGATGGAGGACAGGAAGGTAAAGCAGATCCCATCTGGGGGTTGGTTCCAGTGGGAGGGGGAGGCTATAAGGAAAGGGTGAAAGAAGGTGAATATGATAGAAATATTATATACTCATGTATGAAAATGGAAAAATGAGATTTGTTGAAACCATTCTAAGAATGGGAGTAAGGGGATAAAGGAAAACAATGGAGGTGGTGAATTTAACTATGATATATTGTAAACACTTTGTGTACCCCACTACAGTAATATAACAAAAAAAAAAGAAGCAGTGTTAGTTGGTAGGTGCTAAGGGAGAATAAAGCAATCATAAATCAGCTAGTAATAAACACTTACAAATACTGATGGTAAAAAAGGAGACAAGAAATTAAAAAGAAAATGTATACTAGGGACAAATCTCTTTCACCCTGAAAACAAACAAGCATTCTCAAAATGTTTGCAAGGAGTAGAAAGCCAATAGAGATAGAGAGGAAGGTGGTCATGACGAACTGGAGTTAAGAGACAGGATTAACTTTGAAGAAGTGGGATATGTTTGAAATCAGAGATTAATATTAGGATGAAGATAAAAGGGAAACATTTTGGGTTGAAAACAATTTTAGAAAAATGAAAAGGGCAGGTTAACAACTGAGGGACTTATTAGTCCCTCAATCTTTGGGGTACTGAAAAAGTATTTTAAAATGTGCATAAAAATAAGGATGTCTTTCACCTAAAAAATTAGCTAGCATTTGTTGCCCTTAATGCAGAGAAACTAAAGCAGATACCTTAAAAGCAACTGAGGCCAATAGGAAAAGGGGACCAGGAACTAGAGAAAAGGTGAGATCAAAAAGAATTAACCTAGAAGGTAACACACACGCACAGGAAATTAATGTGAGTCAACTCCCTGTATAGCTATCCTTATCTCAACCAGCAAAAACCCTTGTTCCTTCCTATTATGGCTTATACTCTTTCTACAACAAAAGTAGAAATAAGGGCAAAATAGTTTCTGCTGGGTATTGAGGGAGTAGGGGGGAGAGGGAGGGGGCAGAGTGGGTGGTAAGGGAGGGGGTGGGGGCAGGGGGGAGAAATGACCTAAGCCTTGTATGCACATATGAATAATAAAAGAAAAAAAATAAAATAAGGATGTCTTTAAAAAGACTAAAGACGAAAATGTAAGTACCAATCCAACTTAAAAGTTTATGAAGTTAGTTGACTGAATCACATATGTACTGTTTGATAGTCTAGACCTGAGCATAGAGAAAGTTGGAAGGGAAAGAAGTTCGTATCTTATGCTAGCCTTTATGACAGGTAAGCATGACAAAGTGCCATGGACCAAAACAAAGCAGATGACTCTGATGCTGAGGCGATCATAAGTTAGATGGGTGCTGCTAGACTGGCAAAAGGAGTCAAAACTCTGAGTATCATGGAAAAATGGGAATTAAAACGGAATAAACAGTGTATAAGATGAGACTAAAATAGTACTATAGCAAGAAAGAGGTTATTAAAAACTTTAAAATTTGGCTTGAATTGCTAGACCTAAAGAAGTCAAAACCCCGGGAGTTCATGCTGACCATCATGGAGGGAAAAACTGAGAGAACTACTGAAGCCACCAAGAAAGCTAGGAGAACCTTGAAGGCAGTGTCTGCTAATCATCAGAAAGTAAAAGAAACTTGGGAGAGTGAACTTTTTCCAGCTGGTGCTTAACATGCTATGATCTGCAAGAAACTCAGTAATACATAAGTTCTATTTGTGTTAAAACATGGAACAACACTTTGGATAAGCAGCATATCAGGTTTGTATTTGAGTAACTTTTGACCGTTGTTTAAAAATAAAAATCCATCCTAAAAAGTAAAGTATGCATTGTACTAATACATAATGAAATCCAAATGAAAGTAATGTGGGCTCTGGAGGGTTTTCCTAGCAAACAGTAAATAACAGGTGCTCAAGTAATAAAGTGAATGAATTAATAAAAAAGAGTTCCAATACTGGCATCACAAACAGAAGAGTTTCCCCTTTTCACTGAATATATTTAAGTATAGATGGCTTGATAGTTGGAAACTGGATGCACAGACAGATGGATTATAGAGAAAGAAAGGAAAAGAAACAGACCTAATAAAAGTCCTGAAAATCCAGTAGTCTCTCAAAGTGACTGCTTTGAAGAGGATAATACTCATCAGAGTACAAATATTTGGCAAATATATTTAAGATATTTAGTTTTTTGTTTGAAAATAACCATTTTAAACATGTACAGAAAAAAATAAATTTGTTATTTCCCTAACAAATCTATCTTAACTTCATTAGTTTAACTATACTCAGAAATTTAATATGGCAATTTCTGAAGTTTCTGTGCTAGAAAATACTTCTAGACAATATCTTTTAGCTCCTTGAAGAGAAAAACTGGCTTCTAATACAATAACTTCCTGAACTATAACTTTAATTGGCAATTTACAAATTTAACTCATCTTACCTCATCATATGATTTACATAGCCTTTGCTACAGCTAGTGTTATATCTGCAAAAACTACAGCGCACATATGTAGGAAAATGGTTTGCAAAATCTTTTATTTCGGAACAACACTCAATGCACTTGTGAACGCCCCGGCGGTACCTTATGGAGACATAAAAAAATATATATGTAAATAGATCATAAAAGAAAACTAATATGAGAGAACTATATTAATTCTATCAACTAAAGTATAATGCTTTTACACTTTAGTTTAAATTGGTATTGTATATCAGAAATAAAACATTACCTTAAGTTCCTCAATGCTGTGTTGATTTTACTTTTTTTATTGCTATTAGTCAATGTGCTGTCTTTCTTTTGCATATTAGAGATTTTTGATTTGCATTTAGATTTATTTCCAGTAGGCTTATTCTCATTAGGTTTACTTGCATCAGATTTGGTTGTATTAGGTTTACTTGTATTCAATTTTGTAGGATTTTTAGTAGTTATATTTTCAGTCCTTGGAGGTGAGAGCTGAGGGACGGAAGTGCTTGTGCTAATGGAAGGTATAGCTGAAGATGGTGACTGAAGAGGCGCAACTGAAGCTCGAATAGTAACCTACAAAAATGAAGAGACTATTTACTTTAAAAAATTGATCATTAATATTAAAATATCACTGTACAAAAAAAGTTAAACTCAAATATTTTGAAAAAGTACAGATAAACTAATTGAGTTTAGACTTCTATTTACTCTCAATATTCAAAGCAATTAAATAAAATTAAACTTGATATTTAATCACTTATAATATTACACTTTGTATTGATATCAGTTATATGTTAACATAATTAATGAATAACTAAGAGTTAATGTAATTGTATAAACATCAAAAGGACACATTTCATAACTATCTCATGATCTAACTAAAAAAAAAAAACTATAAACACAGACCTCAAAACTTAAATAACAAAGACTGAAAAACAGCTTTAGAAAGACCTATATTCCTCTTTGACAACTATAAAACAAACAGATCTACAGTAAATGGGACTTTACTGCCCAGGATTTATGCTTACAAATGTATGAAAAGGGTTATGTTAATGTATTATACTAAGTAGAATTTAATATTTAAAATTTTCTTAACATAAATTAATACACAAAGGCTAACATTTACTGTTCAGAAAGAGAAGCTATTTGATATATCTGTTAGCTGACAATGGAAAACACAATTGCCAACCAACACTGTCATAAAACATTTGACTATGCTCTCTTGGTGTATCTGAGGATAGCCTATGGTGAAGTGCTAAAATACACGTGCTTGGATATTATACTAAAGCACTGTACCAAGACTCAAAGGTCCTGAGGTTAAACCTCATACTATACTCTCCTAGCCATGTGACCTTGAATAAGTAACTCATATTCTTTAAGCTTCTTCCTATCTATAATATAGGGCAATAGTTCCCTTGTCTACATCACTGAATTGTTGTATGGATTAAATAATAAAATGTATGAAAAAAGTACACTTAGAATTAGGCAATTCTAAGATGCTATGAAAACATTTAGTATCATTTTCATTAATATGATTATTAATAAGGGAAGAAATGAGAGAGGACTGCACTGCTTACATTAGTGTTCTGCATGTCTAGTCCCAGCATGAAATGAATGGATTGCAGGGAAGGATGCTGGACAGCTTCTCTTGCTCTAGGTCTTCAGAGCATGGCTTTATTTGTTTAGTTAATTCAATAACAGACATACCCACATTCAAAGGTAAGTACCCAAAGCCAAATATAAATGTTTTGGGAATTATGTCACTTTGGATTATCCATGCCTCTGTTTCCCTCCACTGGAGCAAATATTCAAGAGCTGACTGTGTATAAAGAAGTCAGAGAAAACAGATGTATATGAGGCAAAAAGGGAAAAGTAAGTAACAATCATCAGTATGCAGTCAGATTTGTGTTTGCTCACTTAAAACGCAATGCTGTCCAGCAGCAGAATTTGCTTCTTTGAGAGTAGACTCAATAATAACAACTTCAACAAACATCTGAGAACTTATGGTATTCAAGTCACTATACCAGATGCTGGGGATATGAAGATAAATAATAAAATACAATTCCTGATAGCAAACACTTTATAGTTTAGCTGCTAAAACCAATATACACACTGCCAAAGGAATAGTTAAAAAATTTCTATAGATACAGAAGCAACCCACTGGCCCAGGGAATGGCTGATCTAGTTGCACTCTGCATGAAAAGGAGAGTCACCACAACATAGCACCCACCACTGAGCTCAAAACAATGGTTTTCTAAGAGTAAGAATAAAATCTAAAACTAGTTTAAAAAAAATTAGCAGTAACTTAGAGTATTATGTTCAATAGATAAAACAGGATAGGAGTTCATTTTTTATTACACAAAATGTTAAAATGTAACATATTGGAACTCACTTTTGTTCCAGGAGGCAATCCTTCTAATTGTTTAGGTTTTATAAATGTTCGATGATGCTGAGTCTTGTGATCCATTTTCTCCTTGCATGTCAAAAACTGCAGTCTGCATTTTGTACAACGATGTATACCTTTTTTCTGTGGGGAAGCAGAAAAAAAGGATCAAACTAATTTCTATAACCATAAATCCTGGGTTCTGAAACTGCTCTACCTTAAATGTAATGATGGTTTACTATTACAAGTAATACTAATACCATTTCATTTTTTAAAACTTGTATTAGAATTTGAATTTCATAAGTACTTGATACTATACTGGAATCAAACATGAAAGTTCTATTAACAGGTTTTAATAAGAGTTCTAACAAGTGGGGTGTGAAAGCTCTTTTAATTATAAACTTAAAATATTTAAAGAAATGATACTGTGAAAATGAGCTGTATTAGTGTTTTTACCTAGAAAAAGTAAGTTATTTAAAAATGTTTGCTACTACTCATTGGTTGACAAGCTGGTAAAATAAACTCCTTGCAACCAAATATAACTAACCAGACATTTCAAAGAAAGTTCATGTAATAGAAATGGTTACATAAAGCACAGATGTCCAATAAAATTTTCCGCAATGATGAAACTAGAATTCTAGAGCTGTGTTGTCTAACAGTCATACATAGTTTCTGTGCATAAAAAATGATAAATATTTAAGGAAAGAGAAATGCTAATTGCCCTGATTTGCTCATCATGCATTGTATACATGTAATGAGTAACCACACTGTACCTAACAAATGTGTAAAATTGTATTGTGTCAATTAAATTTTAAAAGAACAGAAAAAAACTTCATTACAATATTCAAAACAAAATACAAGAATGTGTTATAATTCTAGCCACATCTTAAGACTTTTTTAGAAGTGAGTTTCATTTGATTAAATGATAGGTACAAGCAACATAAACAAATTCACTTATATGTGCTTGAGGAGGAGGAAGAAAGTATGTGACCATAAAACACATACCAAAACACAAGGCAGAAAACAAATTCACCAGAGCTTAGGTCCCAGAAATTTTTTACTCAATAATCACTCCCTAAATTAGTTACCTTGTCCAGTTTCATCTATCCAACTGCCTATTGACATTATTACTTGATGTCTAATATGCTTCTGAAATCAATATGGACAAAAAAGAACTCTCTATCTCCTAAGTATCTCCCTGTCCCCACCCTTCCAAATCTGTTCCTTCAGTGTTCCCTACAGAATATGAAAACTTCATCCTTGCAGCTACTCAGGTCACTCTTTCTCACATCCCACATCCAACACATTGATAAAACCTGTCAGCTTTGCCTGCAAAACTATTCACGATCTTCCTCTTGTCATTACTTGCAACCACTGCTAGCGTAATGGCTCAAGCTATTTACTTACCTGGACTATCACAAAACCTTCTATTGTCTTTCTCTCACATCCTCTTGTCCCATAGCTGCCAGTGATTCTTGAAATACACCAAAAACTTCCAGAGGCTTTCCACAGTCCCGACTCTGGCTTACAGGGCTCCACGAAATTGGTCTGCATTTATTGCTATGGACCTCATCTTATTAGCTGAGTCTGCTGCAGCCACACTGGCCTTCTTGCCAATCAAGCTGTAACTTTACCTCTCCCAGACAGCTACATGGCATACACTCTAACTTCCTTCAAAGAGGCCCTTTGATCACCACCTTGCATAATAAAGAGCAACCACTTTTCCACTCCTACCACTCCACGTTTTCCACCCACGGTACTTATCACTAGCACATACACAGACACAAATTTCTTCCTTCACTACAATGTGAATTCCAAAATGTAGAAGAATTTGCTTTGTTCACTGCTAGGTAATACCTAAAACAGCTCTGGCATGCAGTAAGGCACTGAAAATAAATATTTATTAAATAAATGAATACTGAGGCAGCAAAGCAAGAGACAGAAAAATACATATGAATTATAGGTATAATTTATCTAGTTCAAAATGCCCATTTCAAACAGTGAGTATTCAACAGACCCGAGATAGAATATATCACTCAACTATCCCCTTGGACTCAGTCTTACACATCTCTCGTGTATGCATGCATTTAAATATGTAATGGTGATGAGATTCAGTGTTATAGTTTAATACATTATGCTCAAAAAGAAATCATTGATTTATTCCTAGTATAGATAAATAATTGTACTGAATTATTGACAAGTACACTATATTGTTTGGGAGCCTTAAGGAATTTAAGGGTAATTCTTTCTACATGTAGAAAAATTTCTATCTTTAGATCTAATGCCAATGTGAACTCCAACTCTGTAACAGGGCAGTTAACACCTCGCCTTTACAGTCAAAATGTGACTCTGCCTTTTATTAGACAATGTGACATTAGGCAAGTTACTTCCTGTGAAGCTCTGCTTCCTCACTTATAAAATGGAAATAATAACATACACGTGATGGTTGTGAGGATTAAACACCCTGCTGCCGTAAGATGAGTGATTAGCATGTTAATCGCTTATTATTTTATTAATAATCTAATAAGGTTGCTTGATACGTATGAAATTCTTTCATTATTTCTTAAAAGTTATATAAACTAGGTTGTTAGCTCTAAAATCACCTAAAAGATAAAAAATATTATTTTTTTGGCCATAAAGGAAATGTAAATCAAAGCCACATTAACATTCCAACTCACTCATGTTAGAATGGCTACCATCAAGAACACAAACAACAAATGTTGGTGAGGATGTGGGGAAAAAGAAACACTCATACATGGTTTGTGGGAACATAAATTAGCACAAACACTATGGAAAAAGAGTATGGAGGCTCCTCAAAAAACTAAAAATAGAACTGCCATATGATCCGGCAATAACACTCCTAGGAATATACCTGAAGGAATGTAAATCAGGTTACAATAAAAGCACCTGCACACACGTTTACTGCAGCATTATTCACAATAGCTAAGCTATGGAAACAGCCAATGTGCCCCACAATTGATGAACAGATTAAGAAAATGTAGTATTTATATACAATGGAATTTTATTCGGTCATAAAGAATGAAATTTTGTCATTTGCAGGTAAATGGATGGAACTGGAGAACATCACCTTAAGTGATGTTCGCCAGGTTCAGAAGGCCAAAGGCCTCATGTTTTCTCTCATATGTAGAATACAGACCTACAAATACAAGCAATAATATAAAAAACAGGTCATGCTAAGGAGAGGTCACAATCGAGAGAGGGTGAGTAAGAGGAGGAAGTTAGGAAGGTTAATGTGATTGATGTACTTCCTATACAAAAATGAATACAGAATTTTAAACTTGCTGAAATCAGCACATGAAGGGGATTACGGTAGAAAGGAGAAAAACAGAGATGAACCAATTCAGGTTATAATACATATATACATGGAAATGTCACAAGGAAAGTCCCTGCATAGCTATTTTAAACAAACAAAAATGTCAATATTTTTTTCTTTCACAAAATTAGAGAACAGGAGGGCAGAACGGGTCTTGTCTAGGAGGCTGGTAACAGTGGGTGTGGGGAGGATGTGGGGAAAGGGTGTAGGAGTATGAATATGGTGCTAATACTGTACACACATGTATATAAGTGAAAAAATGAGACCTATTAAACTATTCCAGGAATGGGATGGTTGTAAGCGCTTTTGTAAATGCCACAATGTACCTCCAGCACAATAAAAAAATAAAAATATTATCTTTAAAAAAAAAAGTTACAGCTGAGATCTTCAAAGACAATAAAAGGAGACAAAGAATTAGCAATTGTCTAATATTTCACTAATAATGTCATCTCAATTACAAGTTCATAATTCTACTCAGCTACAGTTTTCTAGTATACAAATTATAAATGGACTGAATGATGACTGATGACCTTTCTTATTAATAGTCTACCTCCCCGCTACTCCAAAACAAACAAGAAAACTGGGCACCTGTGGCAAGTGAAGACAACTCTGGAGATGAAGATTTGATTATAAATTATGCACCTTGCATACTGGGCCCATCGATCTTGATCACAGTTATCACTATTCCCACAGCTATCTCTCACTCTAGAGCTTAATAAAGCATCTGAGGACAATTACACTAAAAGCCTCATAATGAAACAGAACTACTGCTTCATACCTCACTCTCTAAGAGATGAAATACAGAGTATTAAGGGTAGTGTTTCCCAAACTTTCTTTATCAAGAAATGCCAAAAACCTCTGCTCAAACAAAGAGCCCACTGGTCCTGGCCAAGTAAGTTTGGGAAATGATGTATTACTATCTTTTGCTGGGAGACTTATGATGTCATTACCATATTAAAAATTCTGAGAAGCCTTGTTTTAAAAAACAAAACTGTTTTATTTTGAAACTCCAGGCATTTACCAAATTTACATCCAGTGACAATTTGGTAGGAACCTCTACTAAACACCTGATAAAACACTGTTGGGGAGATCTAGAATAGAAGATCTTGAAGAACCTCTTCATGATGGGTGGTATTCTAGTCACAACACTGGTGAGACCAAATTTATTTGGAGAATTCTACTTTTATGATCTTTCCTAATTAAAAAACACAAGTTGCTGGATGCTGGTAGCTCATGCCTATATTCCTTAGGAGGCAGAGATCAGGAGGACTACCGTTCGAAGCCAGCCTATGGAAACAGTTTGCAAGACACTATCTCAAAAAAAACCCTCACAAAATAAAAAAGGGTTGGTGGAGTGGCTCAAGGTATAGACCCTGAGTTCAAACCCCAGGACTGCAAAAACAAACAAAAAAACCCCACAAGTTGATTTCTAACACCTGAAACTGACAGTAAAATGAGTATCAATGGTGAATAAACTCGTGTACCAATTTAATCAATGAGAAAACACACTGGGCTTTTTAATGAGTTGGCAAAACTTGATTACACAATCAGATACAGTAAAACCAAGGGCTTCTGATTTTGACAAAGGCACTGTTGCTTTCTCAAGCACTGAGGTGTAGGATACGTGTTACATCAACATTTTTAGCACAAGGAAAGGATGATTTAATTGGTTCAGAAGAGTCAATGAGCCTAATATTAGGACAAGAAAGGACAAAAGCACTAATATACAATCTCAAAACTTATACAGCACAACTGGCACCAGTCATCCAGAAAACAGGTGATGATCCAAATATAATTCTCTAGCAGAGTTTATATATTCACTTGTTTCCTCTGTCACATAAATACAAAAGACCACTCTGGCTCAATGATGATACATCTTCTCATAAAACAGGGGTTAGAAAATGGGGGAAAGCTTGGAAAAAAAGGACTCATATCTTATTTTAGATGAGTCCTTGATTTTTTTTTTCCTTCTCAGTTCAAACTCATCTTTTCACTAGCTCTTGATAACTCCCTTCAAAGTTATTTCCATAAATGCTCTTAGACCTAGAAATATCCAATTTTTGCACATTTCATCTACCTTCTCTGTTTTCTTTCAATCTTGGGCTTCCTATTACTGGCTATCTTTAAGAATTTTCATATTTATATGCCACACCATCATTAGGAAGAAAGCAAGGAAAACTAGTGAAATTTTAACAAGTAATTCAATATAAATTAATTATATATTTGGGACAAATATAATCAATATTCTGAGTCATAATGTATTTTCATTAATATAAATAAGTAAGAATTAGTAAATCTCACCTGATGCTTCATATAATGATGCATGTAGGGTGTTGCAATCTTAATAACTTTGAGACAAAATGGACAAAGCAAATTCTTAGTGTTCTCATGGGATGTTTTAAAATGAGTTTCTACATCAGAAAATGATGATGATCTGTAATTGCAAACCTAGGAACAGAACAAGGTTTTGTTTAACTTGTTATATCTGATGTGCAGTTACAAAGTAACAATGATGGATAATTTGTTTAAAAGGACATTATGTACTATTAATCCAGTTCGGATGCCTGGACAACTGCAACCAAGAATCCAACTAGTACAATCACCAAATGAGACAGAAAAGTTATCTTTCAAAGGAATGCTTCCCCAAATATAACTAGGTTCCCGTCTTTTTTATCTTGTCTTGAATTTTCCAGCTTTGAGACCTCCTGTCCTGTAAAGTGTTTCTTCTTCTATGTAAAATAGTATCTTTCTTTATGAATAGCTTCCAGGATATGGTAGTGGCAATGAATCTTTCTCTCCCTTTTCTTCTATTCCTTCAGATTGTGGAAAAATTCTAGTCCCAAAGCATTTGCTGGAGTTCTTCATAACTAACAGCAGTTTTTGTATTTCCCTCATCTCATCACATTCTTCCCTATATGGTAAGATAAGTACATGTCTTTCACCAGCAGGGCTCTTCTTTATCTAGTACAGGTGTGAGCAAACAACAACCTTTAGCCAAATCCAGTTCACTGCCTTCCCCTCATATAGTACATGAGTTATGCCAAAGGATTTCTCACTAATACATTATTTATAAGTGGGTCTATAATTTTAGTAATCAATTTTACCTAAATGGTAAAAAAAAAAAAAAAAAAGACATATATTTCATAACATATGAAACTTCTGACCATTTATAGAACAAAAATTGCTGATCCCTAATCTAGTAGGTTTAAATCTTGTAACCAAAACAAGCAAATAAACCAAACACTTAAGAATAAATAAAATAAAATGTGTGTGTACCTGGCAGACATATGGCATTTCACCGGGTTTATGATTGTCCTTCATATGTTGTAAAAGAATATGTTCTGTTTCAAATGATAATTCACAGATTTTACAAATGGCTAAAAGTGGGAGGAAAATGCATATTGCAACATTTTAATATGTAAATATTAGAAAGTAATTTTACACATATATGTCAACAATAGTAGCAGTAGAAGAAGTAGTGGCGGGAGTAGTGAATGGTTTGTTAACTAGGTGCCAAGTACAGTTCTCCACACTTCACATATATTAATTCACTATAATTTCTATTAAAATTTTTGTAATTCCTATTACGGCACTACAAGTAAGACATTTCTATTATCCCATTATTCTAGTAGTAAGTGCCTTGCCTAAAATTGTAACTTTAATAAGATGCAGATCTTGAACTAAAGCTGATTAGCTCCAAAATTTGTTTTTTTTTTTTTTTTAACTACAACTATAGTTATATTTCTTATTAAAGTAAAGAACATTGATGTCATATTTCAAAACCATGATCTGAGCCTTCTGATTTAGTTGGTCCCAACACAAAATGTACGAGTTATGACAAGGTAGTTATTATAATGAAATATTTGCAAGAGGGACTTTAATTTTAGTAATTAGTTTTATTTAAAAACTGACAAAAGTTAAAACTTAACTTTTTCAATTTTGGCCCTGAAAAAGTCTCCTTCTTACTTTTATTTTTCAACAGGTATCAAGGTTTGCTCCCAGTTTCTATTGTCAAAATCAGTAAGGTCCAGTGCTTAAATGCAATTGTAACTCACTAGAAAACTCATGAGGAGTGTGTGTGCTCTCAATGTGGCACTGCAGCTGGAAGGGAGTGGGAAACTGGCGGTAGCAGTGCTGGCAGGTGGTGTGGTTTTCCCAGCTCTCACTGCTCTGCTTCTCAAGTTCCAAATGGTGTTTCATGTGGTTCATAAACCTAGAAATGATTGTCAACAGGTACAAAAATTCAGATTTAAAAACAAAAAGAAAATGTTACAAATAAGTATCTAAGCCTAAAATTATAAAAATATAAAATCTAAAGTCTTAAAATCCTCTAGAAAAGCAGATGTTAAATAATCACTCTGTTTAAGTGGCGAAGTAAACATCTTTTCTGTTCATTTTTGTTTTAAAATAAGTCATTAACGTAATCTGAAATATCACTAATTTGATCTAACTCACAGTCATTATTTCAGATTACTAAAATGTGCTTTTGTATAAAACAGCAGTCTTCCTTTCTGTGCCTGAAGTACTACATATATTTAAAATGAGCTACTGAAAGGAAGGAAACCCTATTACCAAAAGCAGCCAGAATCATGAGAGACATGTCTTAAGGCCTAAAGATACATAATAGATTCCAGTTTCTTAAAAGACAAATTACTGGTATTTTTACTTGTGTCTTGGTTTTTAAATGCATGTAATAGCAACTTTAATGCCTACAATTACAAGAACCTTTTATTTTATTTAGTGATACTGGTTTACTGCTAGCATTTTAACTTGCAGACTATGCCCTTTGTAGGCAACGTCCATTTTTCAGTTTTACATTCTGCTATTTCAGCTTCCCTAAAAGGCTTCTTATGAGCAGGAACTCTGACCTTCAACAGTGGAGAGGGCAATATAAATGTGTATACCTATTTAAAAGAGCTTACCAAAGCTTTTTGCTGAATTTGAAAGTAAAGTTATTCAATTAAAACAACGTTTAAACTGGGTCAACGATTAACAATTATTCATTTTGAGATGGTAAAAAATCATCTTGAAACCACAGGATAATGCCATCAATCTGGACAATAATCACCCCAAAGGCTGTGGCATCCATCTCTTTTCATACCTCCTAATAATGTGTATCTTTGCAGCAGGTTGTGGTAAACCTCGAAACATCTTTGTTTCTTCCTTTGGTTTTAACACTAGCTCTAACAAACACCTACAAACAATCTTAGCCTTGGTTAAATATTTATATATAAAAAAATATGAGCCAATAAATACTCAGCTTCATAACCTGAAGCACTTCGGTATACCTATGTAAATAAAGGAATCCCTTAATTAGTGAGCTGAGTTCTCTCAACTTTTATATGAGCCCCTATGTGGAGCTCAAACTTCTCAAACCAATATATGGGAATAGGGGAAATAAATAATTAAAAAGTTTATTGCAATTATATTCATACAGCAAAATACACCTGTTTTTAGTGACACTCAATTGAGAGAAGAAAAAAAAAAAACAGCCCATATCATAGTGTATATCCTAGAGGAGTATCTTGATACATTTCTTTCCTTTCTATAAAAACAGCAATTTGTCTTCCCAGGTTTTACAGGGAAAAATTAAGTCCAAATATTATATATTTAACTTCTTTGGTCACAAGGTGCTTACCATTAGGGTTGATCGAACTTATTTCTAAATGCTTACTTCCTGGAGGTTATCAAATGTAATATGCTTAAAATTTCTAAATCTTTTTGAACTAGCCTCCTGAAACAATTCCTGAAAAAAAGAATTTTTCATTTTCATTTTTTATTTTAAATGGGCTAATGTTAAATTAAAAGCCAAAACACATGCTAAAATAGGTTATATTTCACATTTAACAAAGAATTAAATCAGTGAACTATACTTCTACACATTTTACCACATTTACTATCATGATTTTTGGATGTATTTTACTATTAAAATGATAAGACTGTGGAAACAGGTGGCATAGTTCTATTGTAATGATGTTTCGATGTTATGTGTTTAAGCACAATTTTCTATTGAGCTACTGAGATCATTAACTTTTGTGGCTGTTATCGTGTGATAAAAGGAGGTAAAGAAATATGAAAATTCATATGGAATAAAATGTATAAAAAAGATTTTGAAAACTAGAAAGCATTACATTAAAAACAACAACAAAAAAAAATTGTTACAGGACCAAATCACCAAAGAAAACACAGGAAAATAAATGAATGTTGGGCCCAGAAGTCACTGTGGGTACTTAAGCACTAATTATAGGTGAAAGTTATATACACATACACACATATCTTATATAAGGAAAGTACACTAATGTCTAGTACTTACTTTCAAATGCAATAGAAAAATCAGTTTAAAGGAATGATAAGTAAAAAAATGACAAAGCCAAGTATACTAAAATGTTATGGATAGTATCAAGGTGATTAAGTGTACAAGTGTTCAATTTTTGACAAACATTTGAAAAAAAAATTTGTAATGAAATGATAGAAAACAACCTTATTTAATATAAATGTCAGGCTATCTATTCAATGAAAAGTATCATTCAGCATGTCCTGTTACTTTGTTCTTGATACTTAGTAAGATGTTATCTTCCAAAATATATCATGTAACGCAAAGATTATAAAGACTGCACATATGATCTTCAGAATTCTATTGGTAATGAAATCTCTAATTTTTAAAGGTGCCAAATTTTAAAAGTCAAAGCAGACATGTCTCCTGGAACTGATATATCGCTAAAAACAAATGATTTTCCCACAAGATATATGTTCCAAAAATTTTAATCATGAATTAAAAGATTTGATTAAATAAGATTAGTATGGAAGAAATCAACCTGGACACTTCTGAAAAAGTGTTTCTTCTTAAAACATGAAGAAAAATAAAATTCAAAGATAGCTAGAAAATGAAAAATACCTAACAAAAATTCCTGAAGCACTAGCATTACTAAGAGAAAAATGAAGTTCATTTGATCTTAACTTAAAATAAACTATCCTTTTTCTTTGTTTTGTTTTTTTTTAATGATACTAAGGTTTGAACTCAGGGCCTCACACCTGCTAGGCAGGTACTCTACCACTTGCGCTACTCCACCAACCCTTTTTTGTGTTGGGTATTTTCAAGATAGGCTCTTACAAACTATTTGCCCAGACTGGCTTTGAACCACGATCTTCCTGATCATTGCCTCCTGAGTAGCTAGGAATATAGGTGTGAGCCACCGGAGCCCAGCTTTGTTTAAAAAAAATAAATAATTTTTTTGGCGGTACTGGGGCTTGAACAAAGGGTCTACGTGCCTGCTAGGCAAGTGCTCTACTACTTGAGCCATTCCTCCAGCCCCAACTTTGTCCTTTCTAATGCTATGTAAAAATTAATAAGTAAATAAACAGACCCGGGAGTCAAAATTCTAAAAGCAAAAGCTTTTCAGAAAGAAAATATGCCTTTCTTCTTTGTATAAAGTGCTAAAATTGCTTAAACAGCCCAGAAAAATGTAAGATAAAAAAACATTTATATCTGTAGTACTTCAATTTTCAAATAGAAATAAAAATATTTACATACCTAATGTTATTTTTCAGAATTTTCAAGCAACTGAAGCATTTAAAGGTTGTATGAGTCTTCTGTTCTTCCTGGACATCTCCTTCATGTTTTCCATAATAAAAGTCATTTACTAACATAATCAATTTTCCTTTCTCTGAGTCAACCACTTGAGTTGCATTTGAAATTTCTGTTTTACCGAATCCCAAAAACTCATTTATCATGTCCGGACAACAATACTGGGAAGAGAAAAAAACAGATGCCTTATTTAAAAAATAATATACATATAGCAACAAAATGATTATGTGTTTACAACTAAGACCAGATCATATAAAACTATGCTTGGTAATATATATGGAATATTAGTCACCAAAAATTTGTGGTACAAATACATATCCTAAAAAATTTAAATAAACAAACTTTAACACATGAAAAAAAGTTTTCAAAACGAGATGAAAAACCTTAAAACCAGGACTTGTCTACAGATTTAATAACTTGCAATTCATGTTTTCAGATGTACATATTTATTTGTATTTGTACATCTGAAATAATAACTTGTTACCTCACCAAAAATAGTAGAGGAAGGAAATGTAGTTTTATATACTTCAATTTGTACATTCAATTATCAAATGATATACAAAATTTCCTAAAGCCTGATTAGAACTAGACTTTGAACATAGCTAATGTGTCATTTCCCAAACTGAAGGTACTAAAAAATTTATAGGACACAAAAAGAAAGGTACCAGTTACATCTTGAAATATAGAATGCTTAAATATATACCCCTCATAAGTAAAATCATAGTGTCTCACAAACTGGTTCTGATATAGAATACTTTCACACATGAGCTTTTAAAAAATAAGCTATAATTCATTTATTCTACATAATTTCAATTATAGGGTTTCTCTAGGACAGTTTTTCTTAGAGGGTAAAAGCCCAGAAAAAAGACCTGCATTAGAAAACCCAGAAGTGCTTGTTACAATGCTAATTTACAGGCCCTGTTTCAGACCACCCAAACCACAATGTCCAGTGGCAGAGCCTAGGATGCTATATTTTTTAACAAGCAATCTAGATAATCCTTTTATAACTTAAATGCTTCTTAAATGTTTTGTTTATTAAATCAGCACCAGCATATGATTTGAAAATCTAAACACAACTGGTCCATTTCTACAACAATGTCTCCTTCCTGTTCCCATATATGAAACATCTATGATCACTGGTGAAATACCCTGTATTGCATGGTAGGCTGTATTGCCTTGGATCCAAGACCCACCCACAACATTTCCTTCAAGGATGCATATACTTACTATGTTTCACTTGTCAATTTTTAAATATAACAAAAGGAAAAACACGCCCCAAATCCAAGATAGATCCAAAGACAGGGAAAAAAACTGAATAAAATGGGCCTACAAAAAAAGTGTCATACGGCTGATAGAGTGGCTTAAGCAGAAACAGCATCTGTCTAGCAAGTGTGAGGCCATGAATTCAAACCCCAGTGCCACAAAAAAAAAAAAAAAAACCCAAAAGTCCTAACTAACTTGCACTTAGGTATTGAGGTTACATTCCTAAGCAAAATTAGGATAAATATATTAATTCTCTAATATGATATAATAGCATGTAGACTTCCACTCAGATGAAATTACAGTTGAAAAGGAACCACAACAAAAAAAGAGAGATAAGAAAGATTTTGCTATTTGTATTTGTAGATTCTTCTCAAGATACACTTAACATTGAAGAGCTCAAACTTAGGGAAATAAGACTAATTCTAAAGAGTTTTACAAGACTAATCTAAGTAAGGCTACTTTTTAACTTGAAGGGTAAATGAGGAAAAGCATGATCTACTGGTGCTACTAGAGAAATTACTTCAACTTTATATGTTACTGCTAATGATATGTATCAGTAGTGAAATTATGATAGACGTCTCTCCCCTTATTATAGCCTTGCTATGGGGAAGACCTCAAATAACAATGGGGAAAACTTAAAATGCACAAAAATTATATAACACAGAACAGCTTCACTAGTTAGGAATGGGGATAAACTCATGCCCCAAACACTAGATCTGGCTTTCAACAGAAGTCTGAGTCATACTTGGCATTTGATTTTTTTTCCCCAAAATCTACAAAACAATCTAAATAATCTATGGTAGAATGTGCTGCATGGTTTATATTCTCCAGAAATGTCTAATGTGCTATTGATGAAACTTAAAGTTTAAGATACACATAAATAATGATAAACATAATAGATAATCAATTAATTTCTGCTTGTTCTGTTTTCTTTCTCTTATTTTACAGAAAGACAGGGTCAATTTTTTTAAGAAAAAAAAAACAGAAGTATTGTTCATGTACCTTTTGAACAATGTTTCAGATCCCTTGGAAAAAGAGCTAAAATAAACAGACAACCAAAAATGAACAAGGTATAAGGTAGGGGAATTTGGTCATTGAGAGGAAAGCAAAATACCTGACAGAAAATAACAAAAGACAAGAAAGGAACTTGAGAAATGAGAACTAAGCTTAGATTTAGGTTTTATACAAGGACAGGAAGCTATGGAGGGTACGACTGGTCTATGATCCACAATTAACTGTTAGTGTAGCCCTAAAACCCAACGCCATATACTGCATTTTAACAAATACCAGATACCATCAATCACCATTCTCGTTTGCTTTCCTCCCAGTACCTAGACGATGTTCTATCACTTTGCTAGTGCTCTAAAAATTTATAAGTTTTATAGCAAAGAAAGTGGGATGATATTTTTATTTTTTAAATTTTTGAGTCAGAATCTTAGTATGCTGCCTAAGCTGACCTTGAACTTGCAAACCTCTGGCCCATTCTTCCAAGTGGCTGGCATTATAGGCACATGCCACTGTACCAGACTAGGGATTCTATCTTTAAATAGTAAAACTGGACTTCTCACACAAACACCTATATAACACTGCCAGCAACAAATACTGACCACTTTTCCTATTTGATTCCACAAAGTTCATCTCCATTAAAATTAAGAGCCAGCTAAAATCCATAGGTACAATAATTATGAAAGCACTACTGAAAGCAGCCAAGATTAGGAAAAGACATGCAGTTGGAAACAGATCAGAGAAGTCAAGAGCACCCAAAGGTAACAGATCTCAAGAATTATCAGTAAAGGGGCTGAGAATATAACTCAGTGGTAGAGTGCTTGCCCAGCACATATAAGACCCCTGGGTTCAATCCTCATCACCACCAGTAAATAAATTTTTTAAACTTTACAACAAGAAAAAGAGAAAGTGTCAGTGAAAATATACATGCTGAGGTGAAAGACATAACTTGACGTGCAAAGCTATCCCCTTTGGTGCAGCAGAAGTGCCACAGCCCTAATTTGATACAGAGAAGCTGAAAAAGCAATCTATGTACACAGTCCGACATTCAAGTAACACTTGCAGGAAGCCTTCTGTAAGGCTGCCTGCCAAATGGTCTTTGCAACCTGTGCTTCCTCCCTACAGGAACACTGCACAAAAACACCTGGCCCAAGAAAATCCAACGTGTTCAACATGATAGCACTTACATCTAAACACAACACATAAATAAAAATACTTCAATAAAAAAGGAGGAAAATAGCAGGGAAATATAAATTCTAACAAAAACATCAGAAGCATGTTACCATGGAGCACATACACATAAAAAGTGCCAAAGTTTTGTCACAAATTTTAAATTTTACTGAAGCAACTGTTTTTATTTGGAAGACCACAGAAACAAGAAGAGATTGGAAAAAAAGAAGTCGCAAGCAAAGGGGAAAAAGAAAAAATATAAAACCAGAGATATGAACTAGAGATGACAGCAATGGTGAGCAGGCACTGCAAAATAAAGAACACAGAGGCAAGTAACAAGAGAAACACTATTTTGTTTGTTGCTGGAGGTCCTGGGGTTTGAACCCATAACCTCTTGAGCCACATCCCCAGCCTTTTTTGCTTTTATTTGCTTTTCAGATATGGTCTGGTGCTTTTGCCAGACTTGTCTCAGATGCGATCCTCCTATCTCTACCAGCTGAGTAGCTGGGATTCTAAGCATGAAGCACTATGCCAGGCTTGTTTCTTGAGATAGAGTCTTGCTAACTTTTTGCCCATGCTGGCCTTGAACCAAGATCCTCCTATCTCTACCTCTGCAAGTAGAAAAGCAAATAAAATTTTAAAAGGGGTCAAAACGAAAATAACAAATGTGCCAGGCAAATTCATTTCGGACAGGAGATTGTAGGGAATATTTAAAAATACAATGCAAACAATGCTGAAACAAAGGTTGAAAGAACATGTATGCCGTAGAAGACTGAACCAAATTCCTAACACAAAGTTGTATCATTGTAAAATTAATAGTCTTCAAAAATAAAAAATCCTCTGGACAGCCATGCAAAAAGATCAAATTGCTCACAAAGAGCAAAATAATTCCAGCTTGTTTCAGATTCCTCAACAGCAACATTTAACACATTTAATCAAAGAGGGAGCAACACCAACGTGATCCTCAAGTGGAGTCCAACATACTGGTTTTTGTTTGTTTGTTTTGGGGGCTCCTGGAATTTGAACTCAGGGCCTTGCATACCTCCAACCTTTATGCTGATGGTTATTTTTCACACCGGGTCTTGCCTTTTGCCCGGAGCCACCTCAGACAGGACCCTCCTACCTATAGCTTCCCACGCACTTGGGATGACATCAGCATGCCACCAAACCCTGGTTACTTTGATGAGTTGGGGTCTGGCTAACTTTTCATCTGTGCTTACCTCAAATTGTGATCTTCCTGATCACCACCTCCCAAACAGCTGGGATTACAAATGTGAGTCACCACACCAGGCCTCCAACTTATTTTATACCTAGTCAAACTGTCTTTCAAGAATAGACTGTAGCCAAACTGTAGTATTATATTTTCTGCTAATGGAAAAACAACACAATCAACACCCAAAAACCAGGAGGGGCAAAAGGACAATGAGTTTGGGGTCAGAAAGTTCATAGATGCTCTCACATATGCTAGCAGCACATCAAGGAACACCATTTGGTGCTACCAAAGTCATATGTCTAAATATTTTAACAGCAAAGGTAGACACTGATGACAACACTGACTAAAACCAGGCAGGAGAGGATAAGGGAAGTCAACTACAGGTGGGTTAAGAGTAAGAAGTTGAAGCCAGGCATGTCGGCACATGCCTTGGAGCCCAGCACTTGGGTGTTTGAGACATGAGGATCATGAGTTCAAAGGCCAGCCTGGCCTACATAGCAAAACCCTATTTCAAAAAACAAAAATCAAGTGCTAGAAGTATGGCTCAAGTGTAGAGGTGTATGCCCAGCAAGTATGAAGTTCTGACTTCAAATTGCCCAAAAGAGAATAACTAATGTAAAAACAAACCAAAAGCAAAAGCCTTGACTTCATAATCTTCCACGTCAGTCTCCTGAGTGCTAAAATCACAGGCATGTGCCACTATGCCCAGCTTGTTACTTAATCTTAACGGAAAGTATAGGACTGGGGATATAGCTTAGTGGGAGAGTCTTTGCCAAGCACTCCTGAGGCCCTAGCCTCGATCCCTAGCAGCACACCAAAAGACAGAGAAACAGAGACTAATAGAGGGTTAGGGACTACTAGAGCTATATAACATTAAAATTATACAGCTAAGCAGAACAGAACTGTAACTTAAAATCCAAACTACATACTTTAAAAAAAAGTATTAACAAAATAAATTGTGACAAACTAAAAGCAAAGAAAGCTATTGGATCAATGAACATAAACCGGCCGGGCGCCAGTGGCTCACACCTATGATCCTAGATATTCAGAGGCAGAGATCAGGAGGGTCATGGTTCAAAGCCAGCCCAGGAAAGTAGCTCTTGAGACCCTGTCTTGAAAAGACCCAATACAAAAAAGGGCTGGTGGAGTGGCTCAGGTGGTAGAGTTCCTGTCTAGCAAGTGTGAGGCCCTGAGTTCAAACCCCAGTGTCATCATTAAAAAAAAAAAAAAGTGCCCTATATTAAAGAGAATATTAGCAACAAAAGATAAGGATTGGATGTGGTATCTATAGATCAAATAGACTAAACCTAAGCGAAGAAAAGGAAATGGGAAAAGGTTGATCAACGGGTACTAAGTTACAGCCAGACAGGAGCACAAGTTCCGGGAACCTCTACTGCTCAGTAGGTGACTGCAGAAAACAATAATGTGCTACATATTTCAAAAAGCCAGAAGCAGGCTGGGCATGGTGGTGCACACCTATAACCCCAGCACTTATAAAGCTGGAGCAGGAGGACCTCAAGTTAGTTAGAGCCTAGCCTGGGCTGTATAGTGAGACACTATCTCAAAACAAAAGAAAACAAAACAAAGCTAGATGTTTTTCAGGTGTTTACTTGTGGAGAGCGAAGTATGTGAAGCCTATTATGAGAACTTGACATGAGCACAGCCATGTCAAATAATCTGCAGGCTGGGATCGGCACAGCCCCCAGCTGCAGAAGGGAGCAAGACCAAAATGCAGCACAGCTGCTTGACGTAAGAACAAGGATGTTTACACCATGACCTTCAGACAGGAACAGTACAAGCAGAAAGTAGCGATAGCAGGGTCCTTCTGTCCCCGATGACTACAAGGTCACGCCACCCAGAGAACTGTTGCCCTGCTAACTTCGCTATCCCACTTTCTTGTTTGCCGCTGTATATGATAAACTTGCTGGAGGTGGTTGAGGCTGTTGTGTGTTCCACCAGAGCACCCAGCCCACCCGATTCCAGCTTTTTGCATGTTTGTCTCTTGTCCTTTCTCAATCTCCCATCACTCCCAGTTAGGTTCCAAAGACAAGCTTGTGCAAGTCACGAGAGTTTGCCATAAAGAAATTATAAATCTTGACGAGACAGACATGTTTAACCTGACTTAAACATTTTTACAATGTATGCATGTATCAAAACATCACATGGGTGAGCACTGGTGGCTCATACCTGTAATCCTAACTACTTGGGAGGCTGAGATTGGGAGGATCATGGTTCAAGGTCAACCCAGGCAAATAGAACATGAGACCCCATTTCCAAAATAACCACAGTAAAAATGGATTGGAGATGTGGCTAAAGTGGTAGAGTGCTTGCTGTGCTTGTGCAAAGCCCTGAGTTCAAACCACCATCCCACCAAGAAAAAAACAAAATCATGTGGTACCCATTAGTATGTACTTTGTTCCTCTGTACCAATTAAAAAGAAACTTAAATTTAAAAATAAAATTATAATAAATACATTAGAACAGACTGTGACAGGCACATAATTCAATTATTGGCTTTATTGTATCTCACGGTCAAACCTGACATAACAGTAACATTGATGTTTGATTTGGCTGATTTTGTTCATAGTGAGATCCTATCTTACAAAAAGAACTAGGTGGATTTGAAAAGTTTACATTATAAAGAATTATAAATATCTCAGCTATAATAAAGTAAAAAAAATCTAAAAATCACATTTGAAAATTGTTACCTACAATTCTGAACTTAAAATGTTCATAAAAGTAAAAAAAGAATTTAATTAACAAACTAATTCTGGTTTATAACTACAAACTTCCATGCCTTAAAAGTGAATATACCTATTTGTAAGTTTCTACATAATACTGGAGAAAATCACTCATACTTTTCAAAACGGAAAATGATCCAGTGTTTGTGAGAACTTGGCCTGCACCAATAGAAACTACATGCAGAATGCAGTTATGCCAACCAACTGGCAATGCAGCAATAGGAAAAGTGTCTACCTCAAAGAGCTTTCTAGAGATTAAACTCAATAATGGGTAAGGCTTAATTTTGTGTCTTACACATAATCTGTTAATAAACTGTTCTTATTATTATAGGAAATTTGACTACTTCAAATATTTTTCCATTCAAAGAAAACATTATCTCTATTATATAGTCAACTTCAATTTACTTATAACAGAAAAAAATCATTCAAGAATGATCTAAAAGTCACATTATTTTCAAATGGAAATTGTCATTATAATATTAAAATGTGATATATTAAAATGTGTAAGCTAGAAAATAAAAAGACCCACCATTTTTCATTTTCTTTAAATTTTTACTTGTTTCATTTAATTTCTGAGACAAGGTCTCACTATGCAGCCCAGGCTGGCCTCAAACTTATGACCCTCCTCTCTCTGCCAACCTCATGTGGAGATTATAGGTCTATACCTACCAAATCTGGTTCAATTTTTTTGAATGGCTCATAATATTTGTATATTTGTATGAGGTACAATGTGATGTTTTGATTCATATTTACAATAGGTAATGACCAAATAAAAGTAACTAACATACACATCACCTTAAATTTTAGCATTTCTTTATAATGGATAAATCCAAAATCCTCTAAGTACTTTGAAATATGCAATGCATTACTGTTAATTATATTCATCCTACTGTGCCACAGAACACAATCTCTTACTCTTCCTATCTCACTGTGACACTGTACTTGTTGACCAACCTCTCTCCATCTCCCAAGTTTCTGGTAACTGCTAATGAATTAAACTTCATTGAGATTAACTTTGTTAGATTCCATGAATTGAGATCAAGCAGTGTTTGCTTTTCTTGACCCCATAGTTTTAAATTTTCATTTTCTAAATTGATGTCTATGCTCTGAGATTTCTTTATATAGAAAAAGATATATTGTTCACATTATATTCAACTTGGTTTATTAATATGTCTTAAACATCATCACATATCATTACGTACTATAGAGATACCTTCCTTTCACAAAATGTTGCAGTTTTCTCTGATACTTTGGTTACTCCCATACAAGTAGTTATAAATAATGCTGTAACACATAAAAGTCACACTTGGGACAACAGTTGCCAGCCTCTTCAACTGCAGAAGTATATATAATATGCTACAATTTGTATACAAAATAGAGAAACAAAAGAACATTTATGTTTATCTGTACATGCAAAAGAAAATCAGGGAGGACATAAGAATTATTTTCTTTGACAGCCATACTAGGAACCAGGTAAATAAGAGTTAGGGGTAAGATTCTTCATATGTATCCCTTCCCTGTGTAAGCTGTTTAACTTGAAATATATGACTGACTATATTACCTAGCCAAAAATTACAGGTAAATAAAGAACACAGCCTCCCCTTTTTCTTCTCTCCAGCTATAATGCCAAATATAAAAACATTACATGTCTCATCCAAACACTACACAGAAGAGGAAAACTGAAAGCACATTTACAGGACAATTTTCATATTAAGACCAAAGCACAAAGTACAATTACCAGAGGCTATACTCTGGGAGCTGCAAGAAGTGGTAGACAAAAAAAAGTTGAGTACATGAATAAAGAGTCCGCATTAGAAAATTTTAAAAAGCTCCCCTTACTTATTCTACTTTTTTGTAAATTTGTCAATCTCTGAAATAGCAAGCAAGAGCTCTTCCTAAATTAATTCTTGCCACTGAACCCTTCTCCTTCCTTCTTTTCCTTATATAATCTATACTACCATTTCCTTATCTCCTTTATCCCTTCCTGCCATTTATAGTAGGCATGAAAAGGGCACAGGCTATCTTTATACAGACACAGCAGAATCTTATATCTAATATTTTAAGGAAAGTGTTACCTAAACCTCATAATTCATTACAACTTTGAAAATTTCTTAAAATCTAAATCAAGAGCCCCATACAACCAATAAAAATTTCAAATTAATTTATAACAATTATACTAACTATATTCTGGACTGTGTCAAAACAATTATTTCAAATAAAATTCTTCATTGTTTGGAGGTTATATTTGAGTATTAATTAAAATCTAAAACTCAAGATTTTCATTATATAATGTGAAATGCACATGTTAGCATACACAAAAAATAGTTTTTAACCTATTAAAAAGGTTGTGTATAATAAAATGTCTTTTAAATTTGAAGGACAGTATGATCTAGCAAATAAAATACTAATTGATTACATTATTTTGTTAAAAAAAATCAATGAACATACAATATAAATACATGAACCTAACTTTTAAATCTTATGATTCAGAAGGAATTTAGTCTTATATAATCATTGTGAATGTAAAATTTTCCCTAAGTTATATGGAAATACCCAATATGATAATATTTCTTATTTGAATTATCAGGACAAACCATTATTTACTGTAAACCACCATTACTATTTTTAGTGATATGTAAACTTTTTAAAAATTAAATTTGAAAGACATCTACCTTCATGTGATTTTTCAGAGGATCCAAAAGATTGAAATGAATATTGCACTTTGGACAAGCCCTTGGAAAAGTTATTCCATCTTTAGATGAGGTATTTGCACCTAAAATAAATTCAGAACACTTATGATTCAAAAGTCATACTTTTTATCTTAAATAATGACTAATAAAGTCTTTAAGTTTACAACAACTTCCAAAATTTATGTACAAATACTGTATCAATTTCTTTCTTATATGCCAAATTTCACATTTACCTTTTGATGGCATAGCCTGGGGAGATGTCAGTGAAGGAGATTTAACTAATGGGAATACAGCCGAGGAATTTGTTCCAGAAACATTTTCACTGGGCTTAGGCTTTTTTGGATTAACACTGTTTACTTCAGAAGCAGAAGGACGTTTTGATAAAAACAAACTTTCATTCATACCTAGAATGATTTACATAATGGGAATTTGAAAATACTTTAGAATACTGCTTACAACTAGGTAAAAATACTTTGGAAGTAAATTACAGATAATATAATTGAATTATATCACACTAATAATGATAATAAAAATTGAATGGCACAAATACACAGAGTGTAAAGAAACAGCATATTTATTATCAATTATATTTAGTCAAATAATTTACAAAATAATCTTTCTATGAAAGTTCTAAATATGTTTCAAAATAAAAAAATACGTAAGCAGCTATTATAAAAGCCAGACCCATATAACCAAGGAAAAAAATTTAAGGCACCAAATATTCTGAAATTAGTTTTTACAAATGAATTGTCTCTAGATAATTAAGTACATTCATTCATAAAAAACAAAATCATATTAATTTTTATTTGTTCCAAAAGTTTAGAGACCCTTATGATGCATTTTTATTTAACAACTTAAAATGTCTACTGTAATGTAAGTCCTTTTCCCACCTAACACACTCAAGAGTGGTCTCCAGCATGGCTTTAGATGGAATTACCCATTGACTGCTAGGCATAAAGTGGAAACAGCTACTCTAGTAATATTTTACTCATTCATGTGAAACGGCACATAATGGAAGTACATAAGGATTTTCATACAACCTTACCCACATCTTAGTAGGTTCATTTTAGAGAATATACTGGGCATGTCTAATAGAAAAACTTTTCCATTTCAGTTATTAGCCTTTTGCATAAGTTTTTGTTTACATAAAGATTTCATTCCTAAAAATACTTTTCCATTTGAAAACTATTACTTTAAGGTTAAAGGATTTTAGCCTTATTTGGGGCATTAGCAGGAGAACTGGTGATATTTAGGTGATAACCAGGCAAGGTTCTTTTTGAAAATTACACACAATGTACGTTGCACAAAGGATTCTCAAACTGCACATTACACTTTAATAACCCCAACTATACATTAGAAGTAGAAATGATAAATACTAGAAATATTCCAGGCATTTAAGTCAGACAACCTAAGTTCAAATCTAGACTCTGTCACTCTCCAGCTTATGTATTCTTAGCTCATTTAACTTCTCTGGACCTCAGTTTCTTCTTTTGTAAAATTAGGATAAACAATGTAATGTACTTAAAGCACCTCAACAAAATATCTGGAACACAGAAAGCCTTCAGTAATAAATGACAGCTATTACCATTACTAATTTTGCATCTTTAGAGGGGAAAAGATTCACTATTGAAATAATCAGTTTTTAATAACGCATACCTGCCAGGAAAATACTAGTTAGCTTCTCTGTCTCATTCTTTGTGATAACATAAAAATGATTCTCCCCCATCCTCAAAGCACTTGATTGTAAACAGATAGACTGCAGGTACATGGAAAAGAGTACATAATCACATCTGCATTCTTGTGAGATGTTTAGATTATTTGAAAAACCAACGAGTACTGGAATTTTGAATTAAGCAACTGATTATGAAACAGACTGGATGGTGAAATCAGATTGCTTTAAGGTAAGAACTTAACATAAAAACTTCAACATTAAATAATGTCATTTTTTTAAATTCTAAAACTTTAACTTATCTCTGTTCTGTTAGGCTTGTGCTGTTCCTTACCCTCCAACAGCTGTATTTCTGCCAGTGAAAATCCTATTCTCATTCATGATCAAACTCAAATCCATCTTCTCCAAACTTCCATCATCTCCTTACAGCAGTCTATCAATCATGCTACTGAACAACAGCACACCTATTATTCATAATTACCATGCATAACAACTGTTTGTTGTCAAGTCCTTTAAACATTATCAATACATTTTCACATTTCACTTATCTGGGCATCAAAAACATCCTGTGTAAAGCAGAGCAAGAATTAAAATTATATCTCCAAATGGCTGCTTCCAGTTATAGAGAATGAATGCATTATTCAAGAAAAATGGTTATCTCCATCTTTAAAAAATATAAGAAAACTGAAGGGAAAAGTGGTAAGCGGACTTGATAAAGACTGAAAATTCTTTTGAAGCTCAAGCTTACATCTTCCAAATGATCCTATTTAATGCGCAGGCTAAAGGTTCACACTCTCTATAGTAGAAAACATAGGAAAGTAGGAGACATTATTTGTCCTTTGTTCTAAGAAGTTTCAAGAATTGACTTTTTCTATGAATAAAGTCTGCTTTCTAAAAGCAGATTTAATACAATTTTTTTTCTCCCTGTTTCTTTTGATTCTTATCTAGTTTATTAATGAGATGTTAGTAAACTGAGTATGTAAGTGACTCTCAGAGAAGTGAATATCAAATGAAGTATTATTTGGAAAAAGAAATCTCAAGTACTAGTGTATTACTATGAAAAAAATTGGAGGAGGGTTTGGTAAATTCTCTGTATTTAGTTTAGTAAATATTTTTTTAAAATCATGTACATCTCTATTTAATCAAATATTTGAAATTCATCAAAATTGCCAGTGTGTAAGAATTAACTCCTTGATTACAGGGAATTTTCAGTAAGACAAAATTCCTTCACAGTATAAAAATGTATTTTAGGTTAATGAAGAACATTATTATCGTATACACTTATTTTCTTCAGTAAGCAAGTTCCACTACTTTTTTAAAGGGCATTTACTGAGTACTATCTAAGTACAATTTCTTTATTACAGACACTTTACAATAACACTTTAAAATTATACTTAACTATCATACTGCAATCACTTACTGGGAAAGAAACTAACCTAATTAAGAATTCAACTATATCCATACACTTTTTCACACAAAAGGCCATAAAAATGATTTTTTCAACAGCATATTCAGGGTATTTGATGGCTTCGTTAACTCACAGAAAAAGGTTTTTTTTTTTTTTTTTTAAAAAGGTTGGCTCCAAGGTTCAATACAGTTTAGCCACGACTTTTATAAAACCATCCAAAAAACTAATTAAAAAACAATTAACACCAGTCTATGTTACTACATATGAAAACCTTCACCTGAAGATATGGGTTTCAAAGCAGAAAGTCAATTCCATATGCGTATAGAACAAATTGTTCTTTATTAGTTTAAGGAAGAAGTACTAAGACAAACCTGATACAGAAAGTGCTGGTCTTCCTTGGTAATGTGATAATGCTGTGTCCTGAGTCAAGTCAAACAGTAACTCTGAAGAATTATTTGATACAACTCGTGAAGAGTTTGTTATGTAACCCTGTAAAAATATTCCAAAGGAAGAATATTATATTTATCCAACATTGTTACATTTGTTACATTATGTTGTTTCATAAACTTTTATAAAGACAAATTTAATTGTAAACTAGTAAGTGCAATCTTTGATGATTCAATCTTTAATAAGTTAAAACACAAAGATAATTACTAATTTGCCAAAATTATCATCTACCAAAATTGAAAACAAGCTAATGGAGCTAGTTTATCCTTTTTTTTTTTTTGGTGGTAAAGGGGTCTGAACTCAGGGCCCACACTTGCTACACAGGCACTCTCCTACTGAGGCACTCCATCAGCCCTTTTTTGTGTTGGGTATTTTTGAGATGGGTTCTCACTTTTTTTTTACGCAGGCTGACCTTGAACTGCAATCCTACTGATCTCTGACTCTCTCCCTAGTAGCTAGGATTCAGGAGTAAGCCACTGGCACCCAGTGAGCTAGTTTATTCTTGATTAACCAACAAAAACTAGTCACCTAATTTGGAGAGCAAATTCTAACCCAACTTTTTCAAGAAAAAGGAAACATAAATCCACTTTTTAAGACTGATACATGTTGAGGAATTCTAAAAATGTGGTGCCACCATTAAGAAGCAAAAGAACTCAGCAAAATCTCTGGGCATAAATAGAGGAGAAAAATAGAAAATGCATTGCTATAAATACGAAAATTAAAAATTCCACATCCACAATATCAGGACAAACTGGGAATCAATCTGTGATATTGTGTATCAGCATTAAGGATAAATATGTCACATGACAGGAATTATGGAACCACTTTCCTTGGGAAAATTATAAGCTATGGGTCAGAAAGAGAAAGAAAATTCCCCTTACTCTTCTAATCATCCCACAGAAATCTGTGCTAGGCCAGGTAATTTCCCATCTCATAAGGCAAATATGAAAGCAACCTGGCCAACAGGGTAAAGAAATTGAGAATGCCAGGAAGACAAGTTTTAGCATAGAAGCTAATTTATAAGAATGATTTCAGCCAGTGACTCAGCTCCTAGAGACTGGAGCTCAAAAGAGTTGTTAGCCCTTCTATCAAGGGAAAGGGTAGTCCAAGCTAGCTGGAAGATCTCAAGAGAAGAGGGGTGAAAAGTATGAAATGAACCATAATGTGGTCAACAGTAAAGCAGTGTAAATCTGTATGGAAGTATATACATATTTAGTATAAAAATCATAAAAAGCATGGTCAATTTAATTTGGGGATATATGCTCCAGGACTATTATACATTAAATAAACACATACACATGTATACTCCAATACTATTTATAAGAATCGTCATTGTGAAGACTAAGCTTTTCATGTCAAAATATATAGCAATCAAGTTCAACAATGCTTAAAACTCAAAACTGAAAAGACAGCTAGAAAAATAGCCATAGGATATAAACTCAAAGCAACACACAAATGATATGCCTTTTTTCCAACTTAGAAGACAAAACTGAGTTGGCATTGTTTAAAAATGGTAACAACTACTACAAAATAGTCAACCAGCCACTATTTTTGTTTGTTTGTTTGTTTTTGGTGGGACCAAGGTTTAAACTTGAGGCTTCACACTTACAAAGCAGGTACTCTACCTTTTGAGTCAACCCCTCAGTCCATTTTGCTCTGGTTATTTTGGAGATGGGGGTTTCTCAAACTATTTTCCCTAGCTGGCCTTGGACCACCAGCCTCCTGATTTTAGACTCCCAAGTAGCTAGGATTACAGACATGAATCACCAGCACCCAGCTAGCTATTACTCTTAAAAGTGTCAAGAAAGAACATTATTCAACAAATAACTGGTTAAAATAATTCTCCAAAAGAGAATTTTAATGTCTTATAAGACAGTACAGAAGGATGATAAATATAATTAAAGAACAGGCACTTTACAGGAATTTAGAAGATTTGCAAGTTTAACTATATGACCCTGGACAAGAAACTACTTAACTTCAGGTTATTCACCTCTCAAACTGAGAGGTACATATGTTAAATGTACTTGCTCTACAAAGTAACTGAATTATATCAAGTAGCTATCACAGCAGTATTGATATTATTCACTGTTCTATAAATAGGTAAACAAGTGTAGGTGTGATTGAGAAAGCTCCCAACACAACACCACTTGCTACTTATGGAACTGAAATTAGAAACAGTTGTGAATGATTATAAAGCTCATGCCCCAAATTATGTCACAATGAGTTTGTGACAATAGTCACAATCTCATCACTACCTGAAAAACATGTTTAGATACAAAGATAGTCCATGGAAAAGTAACACAAACACACACACAAAAACAGGACATAAGATGGAAAATTATTAATCATAAATCATTAGACACATCATTTCCAAATCCCACCCAAACCAAATGGCAAGACTACTCTTTTCCTAGAAGGAAAAGAGAACCACTAGCTGAGGTGCTTTGATTTAAAAACTATGCCACAGAAATAAAACATTTTGAGTCAGAACTGGCCCTACTTTCTAGCTTTTAAAACAACAGATACCATACCTTGCTGTGTTCCTCACCACCCCGACGTGTCCAGTGTTGGAAGAGATTTTTATCTATCCAACTACATTAATCAACCTCTCTCCTTCTAGTCTCCAACCCCCACGCCTGCAACTGTCAAATAGCTTATGACAAACATGAGAAAACCACTAGGTTAATTTGATTCCAACTAATCAAAGAATTTTTACATTCTCGTAGCTTTCTGCCTGACTTCAGGAACATCTATTACATTTTAAAAACATTATAAATAACTTTTGGAACTTTAAAGGATCCAAGATAGAGACGCAGTGGTTTCTCTTATTGTTCTGTCTAAAGAGCAAGCATTTCAGAAAATCTTATTACTCTTTTTCTAAGGCAGTGGTACCCCTAACTCATTGGCTCCAAATCTTTTTACACATTTAAAAATTAGTAAATCCAAGAGTTTTTGTTTATGCTGATTCCATCTATTAATATTTACCATGCTAGAAATTAAAACAGAAAAATTTTAAATACTTATTTATTTTTACATGAGAGTAAAACCATTACAGATCGACATAACACTTTTATAAAAAAATGACTTGCAAACACATAAAAATGTGAAGAGTGGCATTATTTTACATTTTTTAAAATTTCTTTAATCTGCTTTTGCTTTCAACATGTTATTTTGGTTGAAGAATATAAAGAAAACTTGGCCTTATGACAATACATAACTGAGAAAAGGAGTATTTAATAGTACTTTAAGACACTTATGGATATAGTACTTTGATCGTATTCCAAAACTCATCAGTTGGTACTTTCTTTAAGGTTATCACAGTATAAAATGTGAAACTCTGTGAACTTTTTGTACTCTGTTCCATTAAAATCACTGGTCTATGTTAGAATTTAAATGGATCTTTTACCCACACACCATTTTGTACCATATACATTGGTTATTTATAAATATTGGTTTCCTTGAGTTATTTCAACTATTAACACTGTTCATTATATAGTGTCAAAAAATCATTTATTAATACTACCACCATCAGAAAAGACTTGCCAAGATCAGGCTGGCAGACTAAAGTTTTCAAAAATCCTAATTTTTACTTGAAAGTTCAAATTTTATCACTGGCAAGAATACTGCTACCAGTTGTTTTTCTTGAAGTGCCAGGTGCATTTTGTTCAATTTTGAGGAAATGTTTGCCAAATTCAAGATTGAGTAACTGTGTGTGGCAGATAAGACTCTAAAGCCTCCACGATCTCTACCTCCTGATACTTGTATCATGTGTGATTCCCTTCCTCTGAGTGTGGGGAGGAACTCTAACTTGCTTCTACCAGTAGAATATGACAAAGGTGAAAGTAGATACATGATTTTATGTGCATTATTATATTACTTAAAACAGTAATGACATTGCTAAGGACTCTCCTTTGCAGCTTTGAGGATGCAAACAGCCAGGATGAGAAGACCCACCTGGCAAGGAGTGAGCCAAAATCCAGAAAAATACCGAGATTCTCAGTCTGACATTCCGTAAGGAACTAAATTCTACTAACAAGCAAATGAACTTGGAAGCAGACAAGTTCCCAGTAGTGCTTCAGGTAAGAATGCAACTTCAGGGATGGCATTTTGAAGGCAGCTTTGTCAAACCCTAAGGCAGTGGACCCAGCTAAGATATGATCTGACTCCTGACCCACAGAAACTATAAGATTGTGAGATAATCAGTGTGTGTTAAGTCATATAAATTTGTGATAATAGTGATACAAAGAAATAAATAATACTCCATGGTTTGTCACTTACTCAAGTAAAAATGGCATTCAGTTTTTTAAAAAGCAGGTAGTTTAGTTCACAATCAATCATACAGTGCCTTTCCTCAAGAAAACCATCATACTTTCATCATACAGAATATTTGAAATCACACATCCTTAAGGGTAGAGTTAACAAAATTAATGACATTAATTGATGTCTAGTAGTTAAATTGTTGTTTAGTACATTTTTAATACTTCATCAAGGAGTTGGGTATAACTGGAGTTTTTTACTGTTGAGTGCATGGTGGATGACTAATACAAAAACTACTAGTATAGGTTGGTGCCCGTCTTGATTCACATAAGGCATCAGCAGCTTACTCACCATTGCTTCTGCATCATCAATGCAAATGGCACCACAGTGGAAAAGGCAAACCGGGTCTTTGATTATGATGACAGCAGGGCTGACTCCCAAACCCTGAGAGTCCTAGAGAACCCCCAGGGACTGCAGACCATCCTTTGAAAATCGTTGAATTAAGGCAATACTTACATTTTTTAAAAAGTATACATTCATACATAACATACATGTATATATGTGTGCATACACATATAAACTATGGATAGCCTAAACTGAATCCAAGATTCATCATCTGCCAGCTATGTTGTCTTGAATGAATCACTTAACTTCTGTAAGTCTCAGTTTTCCCAACTACAAAATTGGGATAATAATATTTAAGAATTAAATGAATTAATTTATGGCATTAAGCACAAATCCTTATATAAATGTAACAGTCAATAATGATAACTACTGCATTATATATAATTATATATCACTTTTTACTAAGGTTTTTGAAGCTGAACTATGAAGCTGTTTTCAGAATAAAAAACTATGATGGCTGCTCAATAATTTTCACAATTTGAAACACCAGGCCCAGTTTGCATTATTTTTCCATTATGCAATATTCATTAATGATAATACTTTTATGCATATTTTGACAACATAATTTTTAATACTTTATCTATTAAATTTAAGAATATTCCCTTATATACTATTGGGGTGGGTACTTTCATTAAGCTATCATAAAGATGGTGACATTTTCTGATGCTGATTCCACTTCACTCAATGTCTGCCATCATAGTCAAGTATTTTAACTGCACACTACTGATACTGATAAATAATATCCAATGCATCCCTGAGCTGACTGTGTAGTTTCAGAAACACTTACAGGTTTAGAAAAAGGCGGAACAATAACAGAGCTATCTGGAGATCTAGATTCAGGATGAAAATTTGCTGGCAAGGCAGTCACTGGATTTGACGTTGGGTTCGTGTAGTGTTGACTTGTAGGCTTGAATGCAGCACTAACACCTGTATTTTAAAATTACACAATATGTTGAATATATTTCTATATAACAAGTGTTGTCAAAATATTTCACTTTAAAATTAAAATAGTACAGTAATACTGTACCTCGACTGAGTGCACCATTCTTTATCCCCCTTGAATATGAGCTGGGGTTGACTCTGTTCAAAATATCTATAAAAATTAAAATTATTTTTAAATTGGATGAAATGTATACTAAGATTGAAATCATAAACTGAAAACAAACAAATTTAAGAATACAGTTAATTTTAAGTACATACATCTTTATCTGCAAAGGAAACCAAAGAAACAAGATTATCAGCCTTGACTATTCTAAAGAATAAGCAGCCGATCTCATTCTAACTAAAAATCTGATTGCATACAGGTGAAAACATTCTGCATGGCAAAGATCAGAATTTACACAATAAAAATCTCCCCAAATATATTTATACATAACCTATAACTGAAGGACATACTTTTCTTTTAATGGTGACAAGGTTATAAATACACATGGGTTCTATGACTCAACCTTCATATTCCATTCTCACCTCTAACAGCCCTGAAGTTTCATTATGGAGAATCTCTGTGGATTATCTATCATTTTTAAGTTGTGAAGAGGAAACTATCAGAAGTTACGGACTGAATTAAACCTACAATTCACCAGACTTTAAGATGTTTCAAATCTATCATTACATCAGAAGTTAATCTAAGCCTGACAGACACTTGAGGACCATTTGAATTCTGTAACTTCTATTTTATTCAGTAATCTAATTAAAATGTGATGCCAGGCGCCGGGTGGCTCATGCCTATAATCCTTGCTACTCCAGAAGCAGAGATCAGGAGGATCAAGGTTTGAAACCAGCCCAGGCAAACAGTTCACGAGACTCTTATCTCAAAAAAACCCATCACAAAAGAAGAGTTGGTGGAGTGGCTCAAGGTGGAGGCCCTGAGTTCAAATCCCAGTACCAAAATAAATAAATAAATAAATAAACCCCTAAACTTTGGAAGAGTGAGGATTTGTTTAAATTTGCTCGTTAGGAGAAAATTAAAGAATACACCAAAGTTCGCAAAAAATTTCCTTTTATTCTTCATAGAAGAAAAGAACTAGATCTCACTAAATAACTCTATATAGTAAAGCGTCCCATAAAAGTTCAGTTACTTTCTGATAATGTCAATGCAGTGCTCTATAATTAAACACTATGGAAATTTTAGTGGAGAAAAATCTGCTCAAACAATTTGTCATTGTTTTCACTCAGAAACTCAAGATTCGATATTTACTCAAAACATCAAAGAACTATTGCTATAGTATTTTTAGTGGTAGGAATCTTTAAAATACAAGTTTTACTCTTCTGACAGTTTTATATACATATTTAATTCATATTCCATGTTAAAATATCACATATATTGTACATAAAACCACAATAAAGTCATTTAAATTCATCTTAAATGCTTAGAAAAAAAATTCTATTGGATTCAATTTTTTTGAAGGAATTATTTTAAAGCAATATACACTGTTCTAGTTGAATACTATTAACAGTCAAAAAAAAGCAAAAGAATGACAAGGGAACAAAAAAACCACAAAAACTAGTCACCAAATTCATTTTAAAAGCCAAACAGCATTCCATGAGAGATTACCAATCTGCCATAGCAAATGGTATTGAAATTTCAATTGGTTAAATGATTCTCCCTCTGCTAAGACTGAATAAAAATGTTATTCCAAGTTTATAGGCATGTTGGGAGTGTGGCTCAAGTGCACCTACCTAGCAAGTGTGAGGCCCTGAGTTGAAATCCCAGTTACCATCAAGTTTATAGGCAAGAAAAGCAAGAATTAGGGTTTCAGAAATTTTTAAATAGGCTCTTACACCTTTAAGCACTGCCATAGCAAGAAACACTAATGTACTAGATAGATTACAGTTTTTGGTAGATTCTTCTGGCTTAAAGCAAACAAACGTAAACAGAAAAGAATCTTTTCTCTTCTTCCTTGAAATTTGTACACTGTTTCTCTGCATTTTAGACATTTTTGATAGATGTTTTAACAAGCACAGGTATCTGTGCCTTAACAATATAATAATCTCAAGTCCAATTAGTCTAACTGAAAGTTAATAATCCAGAGGTTGTTCTGCAAGAAAGCCAAAAGGATTTAAATTTACTAGTTGCTATATCATCAAGTATGGTGGCTATATACAATGTCCCTCTATTTACATGAATGAGTTATTGATGAATGAGTCACGAAAGAGTTACTGAAAGATGGATATGGTCAAAGCTATAATGCACTAATTACACAGGCTACAGACTGTGTGATCATTCACTGTGCATTCATTTTGCAGTCATGTATGATGGCACTGCAATGAAGCCTGGTTGTGAGAACTTTCATCTGGAACTAACACACTTATTTATTATTTGGTACATTTCAAAATTTTAAGGTAAACATTCCAAATCCATTCTTTCCATTACTTCTTGGTTTAAGTGAGAAAAAAGAAAAATGATCAAATAGATAAACAAGTTACTCAGCTCCAGTAAAAATTATAATTTCCAATCTCAGAAGTCCTTCAATATTACTAGCTAATCTAAGCCCACTTCTCTTTTTGTACATCTGATATTTAACTTCTTAGCTCCTTCCTTCCTCAATCACATCCCATCCTGAATATCAAGTTCTTACTGGCCTCCCACCTAATATCTCATCCCTAAATTCATATAGCACAGACATATTCACAAGAATAAGAAAATTCACAAGTTTTTCCATTAGAAATAATACCTTTATAAAACTCAGCTTCACTAAAAGTAAATGCTTACTTGAAATTGCTGGTTTTGAACTTGTTATCTCTCCAACAAAGATTGGCTCATCATCATCATCATCCTCAACTTCTTTTACTTTCTTCTGCCATGGTTCCAGCTCTTCTTCTTCACATTCCATAAAGAGTTCTGCCATTTTTGAATTATCTGATTCTCAAAAAGAAAGAAGCAAATCTTATTTTCAAAAAGAAAAATAAAACACTTTGTAATATGTAGTATGATATTAAAGATTAATTTTAAAAATCCTAATAGCAAATACTGAATTTATAGTCAGTATGTGGCAGTAACAGTAAGAAACTGAATGCTCACTCCCCAAGACATAAACTAGGTAAGATGTAGATTGGCCTGGCACTGGTGACTCATTTCCTGTAATCCTACCTACTTGGAAAACTGAGATCAGGAGGATTACAGTTCGAAGCCAGTCAAGCAAATAGTTCGAGAGACCCTATCTTGAAAACACCCAACACAAAACAGGGCTAGTGGAGTGGCTCAAGCGATATTGTGCCTACCTTCCAAGCATGAAGCCCTGAGTTCAAACCCTGATAGTTAGACAATGAATAACAGTAGTTATTTACAGTGGACAGAAAATCTGACAAGTCAAATCCAGTCAAAATGAGTACAGTGGCCAGAAAATTTGACAAGTCAAATCCAGTCAAAATGAGTCTGTCACATACCTAGACTGTGATTATCTCTACAAAAAAGGTTATACCTACCCATTATCTTTAAAAAAAAAAAAAGAAAGAAAGAAAAGAAAAAGGTATTAGCAAAAGGCAGATAGACATAGACTAAGAATATACACAAGAAGATGTGGCTCAAGTGGTAGAACACCTGCTTTGCAAGTGCAAACCCCAATCCCATGAAAAAAACCCAAAACAATACATAAACAAGAGATGGGAAACAAACTGACATTACTGAATCAAATTTAGGAATGTCAGTCACAGAGCAACACAAAGATAAGGTACTAAGCTAAAATATGGGAAATGAGTGAGGCTTATTCCATCTAGGGCAAACTGAGACATTTCTCACTTTTTTTTTTTTTCAGTACTAAAGTTTGAACAAAGGGTCTTATACTTGCTAGGCAGGTTCTCTACCACTTGAGCAAAACTCCAGCTTTTTATGTGTGTGGTATGGTACTGGGGTTTGAACTTAGGGCCTGCACCTTGAGCCACTCCACCACCCCTTTTCTTGTGATGGGTTTTTTGAGATAGTGTCTCACAAACTATTTACCCCAGCTGGCTTCAAATCCCCATCCTCCTGATCTCTGCCTCCTGAGCAGTTAAGATTACAGGCATGAGCCACTAGCACCCAACATCATGTTAAGTTTTATTAGTTTGTAGCCCTATCTCCCAGACCTCCCCCACCCCCCTGTAGACTCTCACTTCAGTTTTCTGCCCAATAAAATCTTGTCAGGTAATATGAATCTTAAATCTTTTCTTTGGTCTTCTGGATACATTCTTCCTAAAGTATTATGCCCTGAGCCCATCTCAGCTGAGTGTTCTTGAGGCCTACTGAACTTGTACTGACCTGGACTCTACATTGCATTGAATGCTGTGTTTGTGGAGCCTGTGTCTTCCTCCTTGTTCATTATGTCTAATGCTTTGGTGGATTCCATAGTAGCTTCTTTAGAAAAGGTACATGGGAGGTAAGTATTGTGTAATGTTACTGATCTTTATTTTTTCCTATTTTGATGAAAAGATTGACTGAGTATAGAATCCTAGGTTCACAATTAATTTTTATAAGAATTTTTTATTTTTGTGTTTATATTTTCTATTCTTCTTGATCCTTTATGCATGACTTATTTCTTCCCCTACTCTATTCCCCAGTGTATCTTAGTATATCCTTTTTATCTCCATTGTCCTAAAATTTCATAATATGTGTTTTTTATTTTTGGTGGTACTGAGGTTTGAACTCAGGGCCTCATACTTGCTAGGCAGGTGCTCTGCCACTTGTGCCATGCCTCCAGGCCAAATGTGTTTTCTGCCCATATTTAAGACTGAGGCTGAGCTGAGGGTGTAGCTCTGGTGATAGAGCACTTGCCAAACAAACATAAGGCCTTGAATTCAAACACCAGTGTACTGCAAAAAAAAAAAAAGAAAAAAACCTTTCTAATATTACTTAAATACTGACTATTAAAAAAAAACTTAAATAAAGCCTTCCTATTTTCCCATGTCATCAACATCATGAATTGAACTCTTTCATTTTTAAACTATACTGCCTTTTGGTTTTGTTTATGTTTTTTGGAGGTACTGGGGTTCAATTCAAGGCTTTGCACTTGCTAGCCAGGGGTTCTACCATTGGAGCCATGCCTCCAGCCCATTTTGCTCTGGTTATTTTGGAAATAGAGTCTCAGGTTTTGCCCAGGCTGCCCTGGCCTGTGATCCTCCTATTTTAAGTTTCTTGCCATTGTGGAATAACAGGTGCACCACACCCAGCTATTCGTTCAGATGAGGTCTTCTGAACACCCTGCCGAACAACCCTCCCGATCTCAGCTTCCCAAGTAGCTAGGATTATAAATGTGAGAATAGTTTTGTTTTTTTTTTAATTAGATAAGAGTTTTTCAATCAGACCATTAAAAAATACTAATTTTCATTGATAATTCATAGTTCAGCATTTGTATATTTCAAATACATGAAACATCACACCTACTCTGGATCTAGAGCTCTTATTCTACCTAGAATATCTTTCCTATCACCTTTACAGACTACATCATTTCAGTCTAGACCAGAAACTGTTTCTAATTGATTGACTCGAGAAATTACTTGAACCTACCTACTCTTGATAACTAACTCCCTAACAGAGAAGTAGTATAAACACTCAACATAATGCCATCAAAAATATTCAACTTCAGACAGTGAAAAAAATACTGAACACCTGACCCTCCTAACCTTTGGTTCAATTATAAATTCCTCAATAAACCACATTTTTATCTTCTTTTGAATTCTGAACTACATTGAAGATGTATAGCATAAAATACAAACTTTAACATATAAGGCTTCAAATTGCTCCTTGTTTCTTCATATATTTTAATTATTTATATATATATATCTCCACACAGTCAAATTGAGTCACTGGTAGTGTATATCTCCCGATACAATAGGTGACTAAAGGTCTAGAGCACTTAAATAACCTATCAACTAAGTGAAGTTAGATAATGCACCATTTTAAAAATGAGAGACTCGCTGTGTACTAATAATAAAAAGTATCATTTACATTCAGATGATATATGCTATGGGCTCCAAAAATCTTACGTCAAAGTCCAAACCTTGTTAATATATTGAGAGACAGTGTTTAGAAACAATTAAATTAAAATGAAACTACTAGGTGGGCCTAATCCAATATAACTGGTGTCCTTAACAGAAGAGATTAAGACACAGACATGTGCAGGAAGGAATGTGAATTTATAAAGAATATGCCCACCCAAGCTAAGGAGAGGGCTACACCCTTCCCTCATGGCTGAAAAGAAACCAACCCTAGCAATACGTTAATCTTGGCGAAAACAGATTTCTGTTCTGTAAACCACCTTGTCTGTGGTACTTTTTATGGCAGTCCTAGCAAACTAATATTTTTCCCATTCTTTTTAACAAGGTTCCATTAGGATATATTGTTGAGGAAAAACACTTTGAAGACACATAATACTTTTACAATATTTTGTAAGTTATTATGTATACCAAGCTGATAAATCACAGTCTTCTCCACTAACAGGGAGAAAACACTTCTACTTTACTCAGTTTTTATGTGGGTATTTGCTACTTCAACATCCTTTCTCCCGAAGCCAAGTTATTCAAAAGCCAGGCATACTACTCTCAGTTGTGAAAGCAGCACTTACTTTTTGGTTGAAAAGGGTTGTCACCCATCAAGAAGCAGCACTGACGTTCTGTAAATTGTCACCTAAATATTGACACATGACATTGGTCAATTTTATAAGTCACACTTTAACAGCAAATATTAAAATATGAAAGTTGGGACTAAAAAATTGTGGGATGAAATTTTGATCTTTAACTCACCATGTGACTCTGCAGCACATGCAGCTACAGCTCAGTTTTCCTTCCTATAAAATAAACATACCTACCATTAGGGCAGATCTCATTATTAAATTAAATATATGCATATTTAATTTATACTTTTTAATTTTTAAGTTGGGTATGTCTGATATATGCATAACTCATTTTACATAATTAGTTCATTTCTAAATAAACCCAAGTTTAATAAAATGGTGGCTTTATCAAACCTACTACTGAATAAATCTGACCAGTTACTAAATTAACACTTATTTTTTGAAGCTGGGCACCAGTGGCTCATGCCTGTAATCCTAGCTACTGGAAAGGTAGACATCAAGAGGATCGGGGCTTGAGGCCAGTCCAGGCAAATACTTTGAGAGATCCTATCTCAAAAATATCCAATACAAAAAAGCATTGGCAGTGTGGCTCAAGTGACAGGGTGCCTGCCTAGCAAGCATGAGGCGTTGAGTTGAAGCCCCAGTGCCACCAAAAAGTCCGATTTATTTTGGGGGCTGGGCATGGTGGTGCATACCTACAATCCCATCTCTCAGGAGGCTGAGACAGGAGGGTCATGAACTTGAGTCCAGGCTGGGCTACATACTGAGACTCTAACTCAGAAACAATTTTCTTGAAACACGCTCTCATCAAACTGAGTAACCACCTCATAATATAAAAATGTAAATGTCTTAGTAAACCTGCTTCTCAAATGCTCAAATACTTCTTAATCTTTGTTACCTATTCTTCATATTTCAGAAGAATAAATACTTCTGTAAGAAAACATAAGTTTAAATAAGTTTTAGTTTATTACTTTTCTAACTTTTAATCAACTGACTGAAAAGGAGCATAAATTCCTGTTTCATCACAGACTAATCCATTCAAAATACAACTAGTAATGGCCTTCTGTATACAAGGTAGCATACTAAGTTCTAAGAGAAATAAAGATGGTAAGTCACAGTCCTGGCCTTCAGAAGTTCACAATCAAACATATTTACAGCTCACTGGGCTTAATAAATGCTGTTACAATGAACACTATCACAACTGGTCCTAGCTACTCAGCAGGACTAGCAGTTCAAGGATAAATAGCCAAAAAAAATCAGTGATTCCCCATCTCAACAAACAAGCCAGGTATAGTGGAACACAGCAAGCTAGGTGGGAGGCATGGGTAGGAGATCACAGTCTGAGGCCCACTCAGGCAAAAACTGTGAGACCCTCTCTTAAAAATACCTAAAGAAATAAGAACTATGGGCATGGCTTAAGTGAAAGAGCACTTGCCCACAGACAAGAGCAAGTGTGAGGCCCCTAGTTCAAACCTGAGTACCACAAAAAAAGTCACAAGTGGGTGGGTATAGTGGTTCATTCTTGTAATCCCAGCACATGAGAGGCTGAAGCAAGGAAGATCACAAGATCACAGCAACTTGGGATACATAGTAAGATCCTTGTTTCAAAAAAACAAAAACAAAACAAGAAAAACCCTACAATTGAATTGCTTTATTTGAACTGAGAATTTATCATCTGAACTCAATGCACATGAAAATTTTACAAAATAAATAAGCTTTCTAAACATAACAAGCAAAAACAGATAAAAAGTTAAAAGACACTGGAAATCTAAAATACTGGAATACACAGATAAATCAATTTTCAAATTCCCCTTTATCCTTAGACTGACAAAGCAAGTTTTCCTATTTTTTCATGTCCAAATTACGTGAAATTAATTAGTTCAAAAGAAAAAGATTATTACTTTTTAACTTCAGAAGTTATTACTATGAATTTTTGGTTTACTATCACAGGAGACTCTTAATTAATCTTCTGTTTAATTAAATTCCCCTAGTTCTTAGGTCCAGCTATTCAATTATTTAATTCAATTATTTAAATAGCAGTAGCTCATCCCTAAACTACAATCTGTGTAATGCTTATGTCAAGAAGGTAAGTACATAATTCCAGCTCAGTATTAAAGACCTACCAGAATGAAGATTACAGAAAAAAAATTTAAGAATCACAATTATACAGATCATAGATTCATATATAACATTTCTATTATGTGATCATGGTTAATCCATAGAAAATACTTCAAAATTTTAGTAAGGCACACAATTCCATGAAAAATTCAATCAGCTGCCAGAGAAGCAGAATATTCAGCAAAGATATGCAGTAAGGATTTCACAGTTCCAAAAGGTCTCTTGCTTCTGCAGCTCAGAGTTGGCTCTAAGATAGCCAGAAAAAAAAAAAAAAGAGAACTACTTCAGCTACTGAATCAGGTACAGATTTCACATTCATGCTCATACATGCTCATGATGACTTCCAACTGTTTTATTACAGACCCTTTAGAATACAATCCATTCTTTTTTAAATTATAAATAATTACAACTCCTACTTTATTTTTTATATCATCTTTTAAAAATCTACAATTAAACCATACCTTAAAAGGATCTTTTTCTATAAAGAAAATTTTAGAAATCAACAGAAATATGGGTCTGAGTATTTTTATATGTAATTTCTTACTAATGTTTAGAAATTTCACTAAATTCTTAGCACTAGTTATAGAGAAGTCTTATGAAAATGATTCCCATCATTAAAATTACTGTAGACATTTTCAGGGGCCTTAATGAGTTGGATATCCTGAATGCTCACAACACAAGATTAGATTTATAAATATATCTTCTAGAAATGTGGATGTTAAATCTATCCTTCCATATTTTCATCTTTAAAGTAAACATTTCCAAACTAGTTAAAATATACATTCACAAGAATTTTTAAGCTATCATATAAATACAACACACATACCTACAACTTATTAATACAGGTAGACCCGGGTAGCTCATGACTATAATCCTACCTACTTGGGAGGCTGAGATTGAGAAGATCATGATTCTCAGACAGCTTGGGGGAAAAACTGACCAGATCCCATCTCAATGTGAAAAGGCTGGGTATGATGGCAAGTACCTGTCATCCCAGCAATGATGGGACTCCTATAACAGAAGGATCACAGTCCAGGCCAGCCTAGGCAATAAATGAGACCCTCTCTCCAAAATATCAAGAGCAAAAAGGGCTGGAGGCATGGCTCAGGCAGTAGAGTGCCTGCCACACAAGCATGAAGCCCTGAGTTCAAATACAAGTAACCCCCACCCACAAAAAAACTATCAACACTGTTGTTAATCACATACCATGTTATACACTACTGTCTACTATTAGCCTAATAGAGTAAAACAGTATCTAATTCAAAATTACCAATATATATAAAGAAGCATTTGATAAACTACCTATATCATTTCATATGAAAAAAAACCATGATTTTTTTTTGCATTCATCTCAATATTTTAATTTCTACCCAAAAAAGTTTTGTTTAGTTTTTGTTTTGTTTTACTTTTGAGACAAGCTCTTACTATGTGGTCCAAGCTGACTTTGAATTCTCAATTCTCCTGCCTCAGCCCCCCAAGTGTTTGGATAACAGCCCTGTGCCACTCACTCCTGACTTGAAAAAAATTTAATGTTTTTAAATGAATGAATAATTAGTAAGGAAAACACAAAGACAGTTATGAGGAATAAGGTAAGGTTAAGCTCATGATTTTCCCAGATCCCATAAATTCAAGTTATTCAATGAAATAATCCAAGAAATCACATTACAAAGTTAAATTTTAATTTTCCAAGTCATAAAAAAGTTTTAATGACAGGCTGCAGTCTTAAATCAGATGTGATCAACTTAATACAAAGGGGAAAATACAAAATAAGAAATCAGCTAAGAGCTGCAGGCTCATACATATAATTCTTAGCTGCTTGGGAGGCTGATATTGGGAGGATCATGGTCCAAGGCCATCCAGAAAAAATAGTTCATGAGACCCCATCTCAAAAATAACCAGAACCAAATGAACTGGAGGTGTGGCTCAAGTGGTAGAGCACCTGCTTTGCAAACACAAAGTCCTGAGTTTGGTCCCACCAAAAAAAAAAAAAAAAAGAAATTAATAGAATCAACTCAAATAGTAACAATTTAACTCAAAATAAGTATTATATATAAAAACAAAACTAACGCATCAATTTAGCTGGAGATCAACAATGTAGCTACAAAGACTCAACATTTAACAATTTTGCTTATATCATTAAAACTTAGGGAATGATTAGGAGTGACTTAAGTCTTTGATTCAGTAAAATTTGATTCATTACTTTTTTTTCCTCTCACAAATTTTCCAAGAAATTAGGTATTTAAATCAGTCCACTGAGTTTAAAGCTTTGGTTTATGTTCTATTCAGTAAACAACTCTTTAGTCTTTTGTCGCTAATAGTATGCTGAAATGAAGGACTGTAGTTTTAGCTCAAATGAGTAAGCTTCAAAGATTCAAACGGATTCTTAACTCTGAGTAACGGTGTAATAGTTCCAACTCGAATTCTGAGCTCTCAAGAATTTTCAGTTCCCTCAAGGAAGTATTAGAAAATTAATTTTAATACTCAGTATCTTCAAATCATACAAAACCTTTTCAGAAAAAAAAAATTTTTAAAACTCCTACTTTGTATCACGTAAGCATCCATTACCTGTTGATACCATTATGGAAATAACTACAACAGTATTGGAGACAATTAGGATTACCTAATGAGGAGTCCATGTCAGCATTATAAGCAGATCACACAAATAGAAATCTTAAATTGTAAGCAAGAAACTCATACTTATGGGAAGAGATCCATGACTAAGACTGACTTTAAAAATCTTAGGTATTTAACGATGAAATTTTATTTAAAATATGACATTAAATTTTTTATTTACTGAGGCTTATGGGGTGTAGCTCCATGGCAGAGTGCATACTTAGGCCCTGTGTTCAATCCCCAGCACCCACTCCCCCAGTTTATTTATAAATTTTCTGTATTTTTATTTATATTTTTATATATTTTATGTTTACAGTGTCAGAAAACTAAGTATCTTTTTCAAAATCAGCCCAGCTGTTACTGTTAAAAACTACACTTTTATTCTTGTGGTACATTCTAACCATAAATGGTCTTCATTGTTGGAAATATCCAATCACCAACAGCTAAAACAGAGTACTGGCAGCTAGCAGAACCCTAAGAGA